CGATTTCCCCGAAGGCGAAGACGTCGAGATGGACGAGGACGGAGTTGTTTATGAGAAGCCCCGGGTCGTTGAAATCCGCCGTCCCGTTATGGATCCCAACCAAAAGGCCGGTCTTTTCGGCGAGATGGCTGGCAAGGTTAAAAAATACGAGGGAAGCGACTCAGAAGAAGCCGAAGGCGCAACAACCGGCCCTTCTCACCCGAGCCTCGAGTCCGGCTCTCCGATTACCCCTGCCGATGGCGAACCTCCCAAGATCCAAATTACTGGGGCTGCCGCGCCGCCTCCTCCGCCTCCGCCGCCTCCCATACCCGGTCAAACCGGTATTCCACCTGCACCTCCTCCCCCGCCGCCTCCTCCGCCCATGCCGGGGATGCTTTCCCCGACCGGTGTTCCACCCCCACCGCCACCCCCGCCTCCGCCTCCACCTCCACCACCAGGCGGTCTCTCAGGAATGCCTCCACCACCGCCTCCGCCATTGCCTGGCGCCATTTCTGGGCACTTCCTCTCACAGGCAACACCTTTCGCCGGCGGGACTTCTATCGGCTTGCCAATTGTTCGTCCAAAGAAGAAGCTCAAGGCCCTTCATTGGGACAAGGTCGATTCCCCCATGACTACGCATTGGGCCGCACATGCTCCATCTGCTGAGGAACGTGAAGAGAAATATCATGAGCTTAGCCGCAAGGGTATTTTGGATGAGGTTGAGAAGCTCTTCATGGCCAAGGAAATCAAGAAGCTCGGAGTCGGCGGTGGCGCGAAGAAGGATGATAAGAAGCAGATCATCTCGGGAGACCTTCGCAAAGCTTTCGGTAAGTTTTCTGTGTTTTGGTTTTTCGTATCTATGCTAGGGTGACAGCAACTGACTCCGCTTAGAAATTGCCTTCGCCAAGTTTTCTCAGGTTTCCGTCGAGAAGATTGTGCAGTCCATCATTCATTGCGACAAGGAGATACTAGATAATTCCGTCGTCATGGACTTCCTGCGCAAAGATGATCTGTGCAATATTCCGGATAACACAGCCAAGCAGATGGCTCCATACAGCAAGGACTGGACGGGCGCTAACCCCGACAAGGCCGAACGCGAACAGGACCCTGCCGAACTCACTAGGCAGGACCAGATTTACCTGTTCACGGCCTTTGAGTTGCATCACTACTGGAAGGCCCGAATGCGAGCTCTTGCCCTTACTAGGAGCTTCGAAGCCGATTTTGATGAGATCACGGAGAAGATGCGCCAAGTTGTCGGAGTATCCGAGTCTCTGCGAGACTCCGTATCCCTCATGAACGTTCTCGGTCTCATCCTTGACATCGGAAACTACATGAACGACGCCAACAAGCAGGCCCGCGGTTTTAAGCTGAGCTCTCTTGCCCGTCTAGGCATGGTCAAGGATGACAAGAACGAATCCACTCTCGCCGATCTCGTCGAGCGAATTGTTCGCAACCAGTATCCCGAATGGGAAGATTTCTCGGATGACATCTCCGGTGTTATGATGGCTCAAAAGATCAACATTGAGCAAGTCCAGCAGGACGCCAAACAGTACATCGACACGGTAAAGAATGTTCAGATGTCTCTCGACGCCGGCAACCTCAGCGACTCCAAAAAGTTCCATCCCCAAGATCGAGTCAGTCAAATTGTCCAGAGAATTATGAAGGACGCGAGAAGAAAGGCGGAGGAGATGCAGCTTTACCTGGAGGAGATGATGAAGACTTACAACGATATTATGGTCTTTTACGGCGAAGACTCCACCGACGAGAACGCCCGCAGAGACTTCTTCGCCAAGCTTGCCATGTTCATCCAGGGTTGGAAGAAGTCCCGGGAGAAGAACGTTCAACTCGAGGAGACGCGCAGACGCAACGAGGCTTCCATGAAGCGGAAACACGCCCAGCTCCAGGTATCAAATGCCAAGGTGGATGGAGCACCGCCCTCGCCATCAAGCGCAGGTGCTATGGACTCTTTGTTGGAGAAGCTACGCGCTGCTGCGCCTCAGACACGAGACCAAAGAGATCGTCGTCGCAGGGCCAGACTCAAGGATCGCCATCAGGTGCGGGTAGCATCGGGACAGAAAATTCCTGATCCAGACGAAATCCCCGAGGTGGAAGCTTCCCTGCAACAAGCCCCCAAGGAGGCGACTATTGACGAAGAGGGCAATCCCATCAGCCCGGGACTGTCGTCACCCAGAGAAGCTGAAGAGGATGACTTAGCTGATCGTGCGGCATTGTTGCTACAAGGCATACGTGGAGGAGACGGGGCTGACGACGCCGATCCGGAGAAGAGAGAGAGCCTGCGGCGCTCAAGGAGGCAGACGGCCGAGGAAGAAAGGCGAATGAGAAGACGCAGGCGGGAGAAGGCGACCTCTACGAATACCGCCATCAGCGAAGGAGACACGACGGTGACGGAAGCGAAGGAGGAGGAGGAGATACCCCCGACACCTTCGATTGTGAACACGCCTGTAGAACCATGAGCCCGGATCTCATGTGGGAGTCACCAGTCGGAGTCATATATACACAAACACTATGTAATGTTTACTACTTCGAAGAACGCTAGCACTAGGGGGAAATACCCATCCCTCTACACAAGCTCGATCACACAGTACCTACCATCTCGTCAATTGAAGGGAGGAGGGGATGGAGAATTCGGGGTAGCTTTTTTTCTTGTGAATAATTCCCCACGCTATATAGGAGGCGGTAGGAGTCGGGCGCTGCAGTCATTGGCGGCGTCTTTGCAAATGTTTTACCGCATTGCAGCATCGTCGCATCATTGCTCCTTTTGGTGGCCGTTTGGCTCTTCTTCTTCAAGACTGTTTAACGGAAGGGAATGAGAATGCTGGGCTCCCGGCTGGTCTATGGGTTTGGCATTCTAACTTTCTTGGCTGTTTGTGTTCTGTTGCATGTTGGTGCATGGTGGTGCGTGGTGGACGCTCGGATGAGCTGATGAAGGGACTGACTCCCTCAGAGGGACGGATGAGGGAGGGTTTTGAGCATCGTCTAAACGAAGGAGGATGAATTGAGGATAAAGATGATGTCCAACGATACGATTGCGAAGCAACGCGTTCTGTTGTCAATGTGTCCTACGATCTGCGTGCGAGCATCTGTTGTGATATCACGTCCAGATTGAGCGTGGTGGTAGATTGGAGAGGCGAAACTCCTTGCCCATGTATGTGATGAGTCTACCATTTCTTTGACTATTGAAGGTGAGGATGAGTGGTACCAAGCAAAGGTCCTTCCGAAACCTGCTCTACTCATCTTACATGTCTCCTGGTTTTGAGGTGCATCGGCAGCCTCCCATTCTCTCCGGTGACGTGTAAGTAAGTAGGTGTTTAATTTCTGGCCGGATTCTGTGGATTTGTGTCTTTCGTTCTTACTTTGCCACTTCTGCAATGTCTTTATATTTTGCTTTACTTTTGACTCTCACAGTTTCTACCCAGGATGGGCCATCTCGCGCACGCATTTGAGGAAGAAACCCGACCTGCGAAGGGCATTTCCTCGGGTGATTGCTTCTTATTGCGACTGCAAGTTTCGTACGAGCTTTGTGTGTAGCTGGTGCTGGAGTTTAACCACGTCATCACAGCCACCTCGTCTTCGTCTGGAGGCTACCTGGATATGATTATATCAAAGAAAGACACTGAAGAACGACCTGCGCGGATATTTTGTGGCTACTCATCGACAGCGCGTCCTGCTTGCGATGTTTTGCGGTGGGCTGTTTTTTTCGTTTCCTCTTTATCCGAAGCGCACTCTCGGCCTCATAGGTCGCCGCGAACATAACTATCTATGAGCAGCTTGACAAAAATTGAGCACGTACCAGAGGATACTGAAATGTAAGAGCGTGAAGGATGTCAAGCTGTGTATACTACATGAGAAACACGCCAATAATCCAAGTCAATCAGCACAAGAAATCCAGCCATGCCTACAGCTAGATACCAATCAACCTACACACCTAGACCAACTCAACAGCGACATCAGGCATTACAAGCACCACGTACCAAAGTGATCGACAAGATGAGCATAGAACGAACAGTAAGCGTGATTAGTTAGTTACAAAAGACCATATGATGTCTATTCCACATGTTGAAAAGAGGAAAAAAGGGAAAATGAAAGGGACGAGACTCGAACTCGCGCGGGTTGCCCCACCAGGAAACAGATGTTAAGCTGACCTTAACCTGGCGCCATAACCAACTCGGCCACCCTTCCGATTGTTGACATCTCTTGCCAAAATCTGCCAGAAAAATCTAGCTCCATCGGCAGCGTGGGGTCACAGCGGCGGTGTTCCGTCCTCTAGTCCGGCCTGCTGCCGGAGACGACCGTCAATCCAACGATATCCAGCCTGAAATGCGGCATGCTCTTTGACCGGAGAATTCTATTGCCATCGATCTTGCAATTTCGTTCTTCACGCAGGTGGCAACACATGCGTCACTGGCCTCTGCACCAAAACTCCCAACGTACCTAGCCTGCAGTAGAAGGCGGCCCCCATTGCATTAAGGCTGAACGGGCGGCATGGTCGCCGGGGCCCATTTAGCCGCGACTGCATTTTCCCCTCCTCCTCCTCCGCATCACCGGGACTACCTCAGTACTACGGAGTACTTTACCGTCGTAGCCCCGCCCCCTCACGCTCCACCCCCACCGAACCCCAACATCGAACTGAGCGGGGAGGCCCCCCCAAAGTAACAAACATACTTCCTTGACGATCTCACAAGCAGGATGAAGACATTGGGCAGAGCTCCCCCGAAGCTGACCCCACCATCTTACCATCCCGCAAGCTAGCCTCGATGAGTCTGCGTGGACACGGCCCGGCGAAGTCGCCCGGTGCTTGTGGGTTCATACTGACCGGAGTAATTCTAAAGCGAGGTTGTTGCGTGGGATGCCGGGTGATGACCTTCGATGCTCCCCCCGCGTAGCGAATCCTAGTTATTCTGACGTTTCCTCTGCTCTGCGTTCACCCTGCTCCCATTGCTCCCTCGCAAGGCGTCTGTTCGTCTCGTTGCTGATCAGGTCATTACCACACGCAAGTCATCATGGAGGAAGCAAAGACCGGCCTCGTCCTGGGCTACAACGGCGCCCACCCCTTCTCCAAAGTGAAGCTCACAGACAGGGCATCCGTCCAAGAGCTCCTCCGGACCCTCCTCGACCCCCTTGAGCCCTTCTTCTCTCCCCTCAAGGCGCGCGTCAAAGTCCCCGGCGCCACAGCCGTCCGTTTCGACCAAGCCGCCTCCGAGGTCGAGGGCATCCTTCGTCCCATCTGGGGCCTCGCCGCCCTCCTAGCCGGCGGTGGAGAGTACCGCGGCACCGAATGGTGGATCCAGGGCATCAAGTCCGGCACCGACCCCGAGAACCCAGAGTACTGGGGCTTTCCCCGTGATAATGACCAGCGCATGGTTGAAATGTGCCCCTTTGGTACTTTGGCCTGACTGACTACTGTTACCTACGTCACTTATAAAGACTAATCATGTATCGTAGGGTTTACGCTTGCTGTTGCGCCCACCATCTGGGAAGGTCTATCTGAGAAGGAACGCGTAAACGTCGAGAACTGGCTCGGCAACTCGATCAACGAGAAGAAGTAAGCAGTCCGGTCATCCCGACACGTCCTCATAATTTCATCATTAACACCACCTTCCTAGCATGCCCAACACAAACTGGCTCTGGTTCCGCGTCTTTGCCAACCTAGGCCTCAAAAAGAACGGCGCCAAGTTCTCGCAGGCGCGCCTCGACGCCGACATCAAGCACCTCGACACCTTTTACCGCAGCGGCGGCTGGTCCAACGACGGGCCCGAGGGCATCCACCAGATGGACTACTACTCCTCCAGCTTCGCCATCCAGCTCCTCCAGCTCCTCTACGCAAAGATCGCCGGCGACGACGAGCCCGAACGCGCCGCCGAGTTCCGCGAGCGCGCCCGCCTCGTCGCCCTCGACCTCGTGCACTACTTTGACGAAACGGGGCGCGCCATCCCCTTTGGCCGCAGCGTCGGCTACCGCTTCGCCATGGTCTCCTTCTGGGGCGCCCTCGCCTACGCCGGCGTCGAGCTGCCCGAACCCCTGACCTGGGGCATGGTGAAAGGCATCGTGATGCGTCACCTGCGCTGGTGGCAGACGCAGCACGACATATGGAGCCCGAGTGGCACGTTGACTATTGGGTACTCGTACCCGAACATGTACATGGCCGAGAATTATAACAGCCCCGGAAGCCCTGTGAGTGTTTATTTGCTTGTCCCGTGGAATGATACTCCCCTTCAGAATAAATGGTTGACCGGTGGGTTCCTTGCGTAGTACTGGGCCTGCCTCGCCTTCATCTGCCTCGCAGTCCCCGAAGACCACCCCTTCTGGACGTCAGAGGAAGAACAGACCTGGGACGTGCTCCCCAAGACAAAGGCCCTGGAGCAGCCGGGTCACATCATGAGCAACATCGGCGGCCACTGCATGCTCCTCTCCTCCGGCCAGGCCTGCAGCTACCCGATGAAGGGCACCCACGCCAAATACGGCGCCTTCGCCTACTCAAGCGCCTACGGGTACTCCGTGCCGCCCGGTCTCTTCTCCCTCGAGCAGTACGCCCTGGCCTCGCAGCTGGGCCTGTCAGACGATGGCGGCGAGTACTGGAAGACGCGGCGGCTCTCGCAGTACGCTGGTATCGAGTCCAGGGACGGCGGACCGGTGCTCGTCTCCGTGTGGAAACCTTTCGCGGACATCGAGATCAAGACGATCCTCGTGCCCCCCGCCGAGTCCACGCCCAACTGGCACCTGCGAATCCACCACATCAAAGCCGGCCGGGAGGTCATGACAGCCGACGGGTCCTTTGCCATTGCCAACGAGAACTCGACCAACGGCCGCTCCCTCGACCTCTACGATGCGGAAAAGGGCGAAGGCACATCGCCAAAGATTATCGGAAACTACGACACGAATACGCCCGAGGGACTCACGAGAGGCAAAGACGGCTCCTTTGCGGTGTCCAAGGGCGCCGTGGGCATCAAGGCCCTGGAAGGTGCCCAGATCGAGCGGACTGCGAACCTCGTCAACGCCGACCCCAACTCCAACCTCGTCGAGAGCCGCACGACTATCCCGACGCTCCAGCACACGATCAAAAAGGGCGAGGTGGTCTGGTACGTGACGGGCATCTATGCCAAGCCGAGCGGCGAGGGCGTTGCCAGGCAGAGCTACCTCGAAGGCTGGGAGCGGCCACCTGCGATCCCAGCGTGGCTTGAGGAGGAGATGAGTAAGTCCTGAGGGGCACTTTCTGCGGGAACTTAGTGAGGAGAGGTGGTAAGACCTGAATAGGGGAATGTTTTGTGCATCTTTGAAGTTGTGGTAGATGCATAAAGTTGGTGCGATGAGCTGGGAAAGTTTGTGCTCTTTCATGTATTTTTGTAGCTAAATCAATTGGCCATATTTCGATCACGCTTCCCGGAGGCCAACGGGTTGTCCACTTCATCGGGAACAATGCAAAAATATACGTACACGGGCTTATCTACTAGAAATGCGCATCATGCGACTGTTGTGATGTCGCCCGATAGAGCAGCGGTAAATTTAGCTGCATGGCTTCAAGCACGAGTTGACATTCATCGTACAGTCGGGGATAGTAGACTACGCACTTCAAGGTGCCTCGGTTTGCGTGTTCCTGCAGGCAGGATGGCGGCCTCACACGCAAATTGCAACGCATAGTCCGGCTATAGTAACGATCATGTACAGATAGGATATACTAGCCGAGACTACGAAACAAGGAACCATCATGCATGATGCGGCTTCGCCCTAGACTTATCTATTGAAACCAAAGACATCCCCTCACAGTGCAAGGAATGCGGACCAAACAGGACAACACCCAATGCTTAACAGCGATTACTCGTCAACAACAGAGGCAAACTTGTCCAGCATCTGCTGCTGGATGTCCTCGTACTGGTCCAAATGAGTTAGCAAATAGACATTGACCGTTTGCGTTGTCGCAAAGACTCACCTTCTTCTCAATAGCCTCCTGGCCCTCAGAGGGAACCTCGAACTTGAGTTGACGCAGCTTGGCCTGCAAGTCACCAGTAGCCTCGCGGACCTTGGCCCAGCTCTGGCCTTGAGCAATAGCCTTTTGCGCCTCGTCGTGGAAGCCGACCATGAGCTTCATCATCCACTCCGTCTTCCACAACGGGCAGAATTGGTCGTAGTCTGAGTAACCGTTTTGCTGCAAGAAGTCTTCCTTCAGAAGCGCGGCGATATCCAGGGTAATTTTGTCGGGGTCGGACAGCGCACTCTTTCCGACCAGCTGCACGACCTGGTCAAGTTCCTCAGAGTCGGACAAGAGCTGCCTGATGCGGTCACGAAGACGGGGGAAGTCGGGGTAATCCTTCTCATACCACTTGTCGAGAACCATGGTGTACTTGGAGTAACTAAGCGAGGTGTTGATGGAGGGGAAGTGCTTTCGCTGGGCGAGCTTCTTGTCAAGACCCCAGAAGACCTGTACGATACCCAAAGTTGAAGTAGTGACAGGATCGGAGAAATCACCACCAGGGGGACTGACGGCACCCACAATGCTGACACTGCCATTTCGCTCGGGTGAGCCGAGAGACACGACGCGGCCGGCACGCTCGTAGAAAGAGGCAAGCTTGGCACCGAGGTAGGCGGGGAAACCTTGGTCAGCTGGCATCTCTCCCAAACGACCAGAAATTTCACGAAGAGCCTCAGCCCAACGCGAGGAAGAGTCAGCCATCATGGCAACATCGAGACCCTGGTCACGGAAGTACTCAGCGACCGTGATACCGGTGTAAATGGAAGCTTCACGAGCAGCGACAGGCATGTTGGAGGTGTTGGCGATGAGGGTGGTACGCTTCATGATGGGCTCCTTGCGACCGTCGACATCAATGGTGAGCTCGGGGAAATCCTTCAGGACTTCGGCCATCTCGTTTCCGCGCTCACCACAGCCGACGTAGACGATGACATCGCTGTTGGAGAACTTGGACACAGACTGACTAATGACAGTCTTGCCACAACCGAAAGCACCCGGAATGGCGACAGTACCACCCTGGACACTAGGGAAAAGGGCGTCCAGCACTCTCTGACCGACGATGAAGGGCTCGTTTGCCTGGAGCTTCTCAGTGGTAGGGCGAGGGACTCGCACAGGCCACGTCTGCATCATGGGGTACTCGGTCTTCTTGCCATCAAACTCGACCTCGAGAAGGGGCTCGGCAACGGTGTATTGTCCCTTGCTGGCGATCTTGGTGATGGTACCGCGGGCACGAGGAGGAAGCAGGATTCGGTGGACGGAAATGAACGAGTTCTCGTTGACGGTACCCCAGACGTCACCGCCAGAGATGTGGTCGCCAACCTTGGCGGAAGGCTCGAAATCCCACTTCTTATTGCGGTCGAGGGCGGGGACGGCGATACCGCGGGGAATGTAAATGGTCTTCGAAATTTCGCTGATCTTCTCGAGAGGTCTTTGGATACCATCGTAGATACCGTTGAGCAGACCGGGGCCGAGCTCGACGGAGAGGGGCTTTCCGGTACGGTAGACGGGGTCACCGACAGTGACACCAGCTGCGCATACCATTAGCTACATGCGATTCGAAAGGGGCCGAAATCGGGAATCGGGAACGCACCGGTCTCCTCGTAGACCTGGATGGTTGCTTGATCGCCGTTGATTCGAATGACTTCACCGACTAGGTTATCGTGACTGACTCTAACCTGCGAGAAGGTCAGATACCATCCCAGCGCCTGTCCGATCACTTCCACCTACCAACTCGTACATAGCAACACCAATCATGTCCTCGGCGACAATGACAGGTCTAGGAATATGATTAGTCGTCAGGCGCGACAGATTGAGGGACCGAGGCGAGTCGGGGGAGCTTCAAACGAACCCTGAGACGGAGAAGATCTTGCCTGCAGGATATGGTCAGTCAATGGCATCATCGACATGCATCGGAAACTGTTGCGAGCTTACCATGTCCGAGGTCTTCCTCCTGCTCGACCTTGGCTTCTTTCTTCTGCTTCTGTAGTAGTTGGCGCCCGAGGTCAGCTACCAGCAATCGAGGTCGGTGGGGCTGGCATATGCCGCATAACAGAGGCGGCGATGGCGACAACGCGGCGTTGGGATCGGGGTGCTTACAGGAGGCATGATGGGCTGTTCGACGCGAGCAGGGCTCGACTCGTGTAGCGTCGTCACAAGGGGAGAGTCGATCGAAGGTGCAGAAGGGTCGGCGGTTGAGGGGGAGGGCGGGTTGGATGGATATCGTCGAGGTGTTGTTGGAGGAGACGATGGTAGAGGTTGAGCAGAAGCTATTTCCAGAGCTTCGACGCCCACTGTGACAGGTTGGCTGGTCGGGTGTGGATGCGGCTGCGGCTCCAGTGCACGTACTGGAAGTACCTCCTCCCGGTATTGCGTGGAACTCGTGGTGCTCCAGCTGGGAACGGTACGAGTGGACGGCGGTGGTCCTCCTTCTGCTGCATGGGAAAGTGGGGATGATGATGTAGGACCGGGGCCCGTGCCTGCTTCTGAGCCTTCTGTCGCTGAAGGACCACCAATGGTGTGTGCAGAGTCACTGCCAGGGACCTGCAAGTAGGTCTTCGAGTCGCCAGTGCCAGTCGCCTGGGCAGCTGGCGGGTTTGGCGGTGACACTGGCGGCGAACCATCAGCAGCGCCATCCTGCTTCCCGCGAACAAGCAAGTCAACCAATGATGGCCGCGCCCGAAGGCGAGGACGAAATCCGACTTGCATGCAATTTGTGTGTTTCGGGGATCTTTCTTGAAATATCCGACCGTATACGAGGTGTGTGGGAAGCTTCTTGTCGGTGGGTTTCTTGAAATAGTCCAAAGTAGGTAGATTGGGTTTGGTACTTGGGGACTGTGGTATTTCACTTGATGACGAGCTTCTTTGTCCTCACATGAGGCAAGGTAAGATAGAAATGGAGGTAGAGAAGACCTCACTTCGGTTCATTTACGCAGCGGCAAGCCGGTAGTCGCCAAGCGAGTCCCGCCGGCCACATTGGGTTGCCTTGAGCCTGAGGAAGCTACACTGCCACGACCCGACTGCTTCAAGACACCGCCGGTTCTCCGCACCGTTGGCCCTGAGACGGTATCTCACGTATCCCTGGTTGTGATTTCACCTTGACGGACTATACGATTACTGATGGATAATCATCCCAATAGCGGGAAACTGACACATTTGACCCTGCTGACTGCCTGTGATGCCACGATGGGCACCAAACTCCAAACCCATGTTCTTGTCTCTCTAGGCTTCCTGATAGGACGTGATGCGAACCCAGACCAAAGGTTGCAAATTATGAGCATGGTCCAACTTCTGTAAGTGAAGCCGTTTCCTATGTATTGCACGGTGGAGCGTCGGCTTCGCTTGCATAGTAAGTAGGCTGACCGCGGAATCATACACATTCAACACTAAGTCTAACTAACTACGTCCAAGCAAGCCATTCCTGAAGCTGCAATTCCTCATAAAGCGACCAACTCGCTAGTAGATCAGGCCTGAGAAATGCTGAGCAACAAGGTCAATAGTATCATACGCCATTGTTTTGATTCCATCCCAAAGCACGAAAACTTTACGTTCGTACATTCATTAGTATCGTCATTATGCCATGCCATTATCCAACAGGTCATCATCATGAATGACTGCCAGACCGCCACCCAGACATACGCCGATATGAGCTCCTATCATGGAAGCTCCGATTATCCATGCAAGTCCTACTTGACTTGCTGATATCTGAACAGCACCCTGGCTGATCTCTTCCTCTCCATACTTCGAGGCTTTTCTCTGGCCTCGACCACCTCCACAGTGGATATTCTATGTTCAGCGGAGAAAACCAGTCCGCTCAGCTCATCTGGCCGCTTTGTGCAATTCGGTCCAGGTTTTTGTACTTTTATCTATACTGTAATCCTTGCGATGAGTTCGTATATGTGCAATGCCGGCATTTTGTTTGCAGTGTCGGTACGCTCATTGGTGTGTGTTTGTCGCGATGACGTGACTTGTGGACCTAGCTCAGGCCGTGGTCTCCTTGAAATCGATGAGCTGCTCCTCTTCGTCTCTCTCCTTGAGGCTCTTCTCCCATTCGTCCATAAGGTTGTTAGCTGTCCGCTTGAGATTGCCGGGCGACAGCTTGTTGACGACGGTTGGAAGAAGCTCCTCCAGCCTTGCGGGAGACAAGAGGGCTGACTCAGGCCGAGGCTCGGGCCGAGCAGCCGACGTATCAATGGTGATGGACGACTTCTTCTTACTGTTCACACACATGTCTTAGTATGGGGGTGGCAAAGATCGATAGTGGGGTTCTTACAGTGAAGTCACATTCTCGTCATTGTTCTCGGCCATGGACGCAAGGTCCTCTGCTCCACCCACCGTCGAACCACTCCAGCGTGCTGGCTTGGCAGAGGACGGCTGAGGCGAGTCCCAGTTGGACCAGTCGTTGTCGTCAAACGAGTCGAAAGTCAACGGGGTCCATGAAAAGTGCTTCGCCTTCGCTGATGTGGACTTGGCTGCGGGTTTGGGGTTCGGTCTTTCTTGCAGCGGCTTGGACGGCTTGCTTGGTGTGTCCATCGGCGGCAAGTCAAAGGCCGAGTTCACCGGGACCCTAGTCCGAGAAGAGCTGTTGGCCTTGATGGTGTCCTGGTCTCCGGCATATGATCTCCTGCCATGAGGGTCCGTTGAGCCAGGGCGTCCGGGAACACCATTGATAGGTTCATCGCCGACGGTGGCTTGTCTGATATCCTCCATGAAGCTCCACAGACCTAGCCTAAAGTCCTGTGCCATCTGCTTTGCGACAGGGGGTACAGCAGTATTGTATGAGCGCGGCTGCCAGGATGCTCTCTTGGAAAGAGCAGCATTGGACAGCATGGGCGGTGACCGAATTTCGGGCGATCTCAGACTGGCGGTATCCTCATGCACAGCAAAACCTTCCGGCTTGGTCGGTGACAGTAATGACAGCGTCCTCGTGTGCCCGCCACGGAGAACTCTTCTTCGATACTCCCTGGGCCCAGTCTGTCCCTGCAAATCTCTCAAGAGAGATTTCCTCCTGTCCAACTCGACGCTTCGTTTCAAGCCTGCCTCGTCATCATCCAACAATGATGGCTCAAATTGAGGTGCTAGAGGACGCATGGGCTCATTGCGAATCTCTCTCTTTCGTTGACCGCCCTGAATAGTCCACTGCTGCTTCAGTCTCGTCAGCTCAGCCTCCGCGCGGGCTAGTTCTTCGCGAATCTCCAAAACACGCCGCTCTTGCGCTGCTATCGCAATGATGAAGTCATTGGGATCTGAAGGTGATGTGAGGGCCGAGCTATCGACAGGCGTCGGAGGGTAGGATGTCGTCGCGACTGAAGCGGGTCGGGAAGGATCACTGGTAGGTGGAGCAATAGGAAGTGTGAGAGATAGTCGATTGGTGGTGCGCGATGCATTGGAACCTGAACGTGACGCGCGCGAGAAACGTTCTTGGGTTGATGGCGTCGGAGGGGGAGGCGTCACGGCCTCTGCGATCTCCATTTCTCCGACAACAGTCTCAATTTGTGCTTCTGAAGGCTTGAAATACGAGGACCTCGGGGTGATGGCGGGTTGTGGTGTAAAAGCCGTGGTGGTCGTGGTGGCCGGGTGGTCCGCCGGCGGACGCTCAACCACAGATGCACGACGGCGAATCTCGTGAGTGCTCTGCATCTCAGCACGAGCAAAGTGCGCGGTGGACGCCTCGTGCAACGACTGGCAATCCGCGGTGGTGGTGTATGCTCGACGGCGCTTGGGCAAAGAATGCGAGGGAGAGGCGGTGTTGGCTCGCCGAGGATGCCGCTGTCTCCAGGCGGCGGAGGAGTGAGCGTGATTCGTTCTTTTGGCAACGACAGCCTTGTAAGAATTCAAATGTCTCTGGTGGTCATATAAGAGAGTGCGTGAGCTAGCAGAGATGAAGCAGATTTGTAGCAAAAAAATGGCTGTCATGGAGAGAGTGGAAAGAGGGTCATTATTGACAGCCCGAAGGAGTACGTGTTTGTTGTTGTGCAGGGACAGCGAGAGACTGGACCGGGCAGATACCTAGCCACAAATGCAGCGATTAGAGGGCGGCCCGGAGAGAATTGAAAGTTCGGGGGTCGGGGGGGGTGATCCAGGTTCAGGAAGCAGCTCCAGTGCCAGACTGCCAGTAAGGGTAGTCGGATTGCGTGGGTTGGGAGGAACTTCCCTCTGGGTCTGGTAGGGGGCCGTTGAATGAGGGTTGCAGCGCAACGAGGGCGACGATTGGACGGCGAGATTGGCGGAGCTGCCGTGGCGGACGAGGGTATTTTGCTTTACTGCGGCAGATAGGGGCGGGCCTCGACCTCTGTCACTGTGTGGCTCCCAGGTTGTGGAAGCTCGGTAGTCAAGGAATTGCGTTGCTGCCGTGGTCCAGTGGAATCTTTTGATCTCGCCTGTCTTCGCTTCGTCGGGACCTTGGATGGGTTTGAATGACGGATTCGGGCACAGATTCCCAGTTGGATGAGCGACAAGGACTGAAAATGGGGAACCGCGTGTTGATGTAGAGATTGTGACGACCAAGCGAGGTCGAAAGGAGGATGCAGCTGTGGGCGAGGCCCTGGACTGTGGCTCTGTGCTGTCAATGCTGCTTGGATTGCTGGTTGATACCTTGTTGATAGAAGACGTGTTGTTGTCCTGGGATCGTATAAGGGGAGCAGGGAGACCGATGTCTGGACCCAAAGTATGAGGTAAGGTACCCGTCGTGTAATAGAACAAGGTTGGGTGAGGTAAGGTGAGAGATGAGGTGAGGAGGTTCGGCGGAGGCAGCGGGCGTGAGGGCGAGTTGGGACCTTGGGATGACCACTGGCAGCGAAGAAGCAACGGCGACAGTATTGACAGCGGCAGCAGCAAGCGGCGGCGGTGAGATTGAGCCAATGGCGAGGAGGGTGGGTGGGATGTGAAGATGGTGGGATGAAAAAACGAAGTTGACAATGGACGAGTAGGAGAAGAAGAACTGCGACCAGGCGGGCACCTTCAAATTGAGAGTCGGGCAGATGCAATGCGATGGCAGCAGCGGTAGCTGGTCAGTTGACTCTTTTGTTGGCTACGGCCCTGGTTGTTGGGATGGGAACCGGAGCATGTGGTCTGACCTTGAGCCGTTGATGACGGAGTCGTGGTGGTGTTCTTGAGTGCGGTATCCGTAAAACGCATTGCCTTTGTTTTAGTCTGGACCTTTTTTACTCTCTTTTTCTCCCCAGTCTAATGTTTACTCTACATCCATCGTCCCTGTTGACATTGACAGCTAACTAACAGACTGAGACACTAAGGTAAAGCCGCTGGATAAGCAGGCATCATCCCCCCCTCGATCTTTGATGGGCCATTGTTCTCGGCCATGGATCTGGCTTTGCACATGCGTTGCCCATTGTTTTGATGGACGCCTCACCAGATCAACAAGACGAAACGAAACCATCGTCCACGGAAACCAGTGGGCCAAGGCTTGCGTTTGCAGGCGTTATGATCCACTAAGACGGTGGTTATTCAGGGGCTTGCAGCAAGCGTGCAGCACCATCGTCTGCAAGGAACCTGTAAGACGCAGTGAGGCTGCAACGAGCTGCAGCAGGAGTCAGGAAACTGCCAGGAACCGATGGGCGACCGGGCAACAGGCTCGAGATGGGCGGCGGACTGACGGCGGCGCCGGACGAGAGGTCTTGGAAAAAGGGCCCGAGGCACCAGCTAGCAGATCTGCAAGAAACCACTATGAAAGAATCCAGGTGTGCAGGTCCCGGCAAGGGTCCGCAGGACAGAGCTGGGATGAACCGTGGCTTAGCGTGGGGACACCCCAATCTGACAATTTCCTTGGAATTAGTAGCCAATCACAGTCGCACTTTGTTTCCCCGACTCTTGAGAAGTATCCACGTGACTGCTCCTTTGACTTTCCAGAACCTGCCCATTTATGCATTCCCGAGACCCCATTTGTGCATATCTTAGGTACGTAAACCACGGGTAAACCAAGGTGGGAAATCGATGCATAATCACACCACCCACAGCAATCAATTGACTTTGGAGCCACCAGTCTGGGTCTGGTGGATGGCACTCCCCCTTTCCGTCCAGTCTAGCCTCCACCACACCCAACACACACACGTGAGAGCGCACCACCGCTAATTGAGACGCGTGACGCGACCTTTCTAACGCAGTCTGACTATCTGCATGACGCTCTCGAGAGGCACAGACAGGAGCGATCGGGAAGCGGGAACGGAGCAGGAGTCCGCAAAAGTCGGTAGTGCTTCACCTTGGGCATCATCACGGTTCAACTCCCGACAGCCTTTCAAATGTCACCCAACATTGACTGTCGCCTACCTTGTGGTCCCTCGGTGACGTGAATGCACCTTACTGGTGTTGTCCATTTAATCGCTTCCTCTCCATCATCATAGCCCCTTACCACCGAAGTCATTCTTCGCGGCCATGCTGGAGCTGAGCTAAGGAGTCTTCACGATGCCCATTTCCTTTGTTCTCGTCTGCGATCTGCTGGAGCAGGTCCATAAACAGTGTAAAACGGACGACAAGAACCTCAAACAACGCGTGACCAGCTGGTTCACTCTGCATCGCCAACTCATTGACGATCCCGAGACCGATGCCTCTGCTCTGCTTTCTACTCTCCTCCCGGACAAACGCACCGATCGTGTATACGCTATTCAGGCCGACACACTATCTAACATCGTTGGCCGCACCTTTGGTCTCGGGAAGTCACGCGTCCAGCAACTTCGTCGATACAAAGAGGCTGGTCGGGGCGAGGATTTAGCTGACTGTGTTGCGAGAGTCTTCAAGGAAACGGTGCGTTCTCGGTCTGATTCCCTTACGAAGAAGAGGAAGATTTCAAGTGTCATGGGATCGGAGATGATACGAGGATCTGGCCATGCTGACATGACTGCCAGCCTCCTCCCATCTGCGCCGAAAGGGAGGCCGTAAGTGTTGAGGAAATCGATTCGGCCCTGAACAGCCTCGCCGCCTCATGTAGGTTCAGCTCGCCCGTTGTTCGAGCCTCACAATCCCATCCAAGCAGCAGTTCTCGGGAAGAACTCCTGGGTCCTTTGTACCTTCGCCTACAAGCGCGAGAAGCCAAATGGCTTACCCGAATCATCCTCAAGAACTTCCAGCCAGTCATGCTGGACCCCGGCCATGTCTACTACTGCTACGACCCATTACTGCCCACGATACTCAAGGTTCAAGATAATTTTGCGGCGGCCTTGTCTCTTCTTAAAGACCTGAATAAAGATCCCTCATTCCGCTGTGGCTCAGAGAACCAGAAGCACAGACATCTGATACAGCACTTAACGCCGGTCTTGGGTACCAAGGTTGGTAGGCCGTTCTGGCTGAAAGGGCGAAGCATCAAGCATTGCATGAAGCTCGGCCACAGCCGCATGAGCTGCGAGAAGAAAATGGACGGAGAGTATTGCCAGGTTCATATAGACATGAGCAAGGGGTTCAAGTGCATCCAAATCTTCTCCAAGAGCGGCAAGGACAGCACCAAAGATCGCGCTGCATTACATGGGTGAGCATTGAATCCTACTGTGTCATGTGTGTCTTGGGTACTGACAAATACAGAGCTATTCGCGACTCTCTCAAAATTGGAAAACCGAATTGCAAGCTTTCCAAAGGGTGTATTCTTGAGGGTGAGCTGGTGGTCTACAATGACATGGTATGCCCCTTGGGTTCAGCATATGTCATCTCTCTGACAGCAGACACAGGACAAAAAGATTATGCCTTTTCACAAGATACGCAAATATGTCTCAAGATCAGGCAGCTATCTGCATACGGAAGCAGATTCACAGTAAGTTCACTATCGCGAGGAGTGTCTACTCATATCCCAGCATGAAGCATTCCCTCACACCAGTAGTGCTTTTGCCGCCTCTTTGCACTTCCAGCTCTTGTCCCCCAAGTCGTTGTTTCAGCTTGACGAATTCCAGAATGAAGTTAGAAAGGAATGAGCATTTAGCTAATGGTCCTAGGCGCCACGACTACGAACACTTGATGATTGTCTATTTTGATGTTCTGCTTGTCGATGAGGAGTCTCTCTTGGGCACCGGGCAGAATGAGCGCTTCAAGCGACTTACTCACTTGATTACCCGCCGGGAGGGTCATGCCGAGCTGGTGGAACGCCAGGTCATCAACCTCGATGACAGACTGGGAGTGCATCATCTAAGACAGGCCTTTGCCAAGTCCATTGCTGCCCGGGAGGAAGGCCTGGTGCTGAAGCCAGACGACCCCTATTTCGACTTCAGCGAGAACCGCCGCTCCTTTGCTGGATGCCCAATCAAGCTCAAGAAAGAGTATATTGGAGGTTTTGGTGATGTGGGCGACTTTTCTGTGGTCGCGGCGCGGTACGACGCAGACAAAGCAAAGTGCTATGGCATCCCAAACCTCAATTGGACACACTTCTTTCTCGGCTGCCTCGAGAACAAGGAGGATGTACAGAGATTTCAAGCTCAGCCTGAGTTCACAGTGGTTCACCAGGTAGAGCTCAATGAGACCCTTCTCAAGACCGTCTCATCCTACGGAAACCCGATGCCAGTGTCTTTTGAGGAGAATGACGCCTTGATTCTCCATCTTGCACCAGGCATCGCTCAACAAAAGATACCAACTGTCGTTTTCACAGAGCCTCTGGTCTTTGACATCCGCTGTTTCTCGTTTGACAAGGAGGGAAATACTGGCTTTTGGCAACCGAGATTCCCCCAGGTATCCAAGGTGCACTTTGACCGATCCTTTGTGGACACAATCTCTTTCTCGGAACTACAGGCTGTGGCGGAAGAAGCAACCACAACTCCTGCTATGGAAGACAGTCAAGAAATGCTGGATTGGATTGCTAGATTGGAAGGAGCGGACCCTCGTGGTATTCCTGTTGATGCCGTCAGCCAGTCCACGACAGGCTCTCTCATGACGCCATCCCGCACTTCTTCCGTCCGACCTTCAACTTCGCCAGCACCGAATTTCTCTATGAGCCCTGTCAAACCTCTCAATCGGTTACCGGCATTGCTTGAAGCCCCAGAAACAGCTCTCGTCACTCCTCGGACCTCATCGGCCAGAGCAGAAGGGATGAACCGCATCGCTGAAGACACCACCGCCGGCGAAGCACCAGAATCACCCAGCGCCAGGAAACGAGGTCCAGAAGGGGAAGACGCGACTCAGCACAAGCGACCAAGAGTTTGTTCCGAAGCTGGCTCCGCCGGTCAGGGGCTATCACCGCCAAACCGTCAACCGCTTGGGGTTATCAGTGCCAATCGGACACCTCCCTCTCCTCAGACGTCTCAATCACAATTGGGGGCAGCAAAGCACATCATGATGGACAGAACAGCATCAAGGCCAGTTGACACTGCCTTGAACGAGCTGGGCCAACAAACGGCTGGATCAGCAGCAGAGGCGCCTGAACCGCGTCGTCATAGCGTATTGGACTCCTCGTCTACACAGCCAAAGCCCCAGTGTGAACACGCAGGTGACAGTTGTCTATTTGCAGACACCATGGTCCTACTCGCCCCCTGCATCGCACACCAGCCCTGGATAACCGAGAACCTCCTCCCTCTTCACGGCGTACACAACTGGACCGCGGATCCGCAAAACTGGACGGCCAGCACCTCCGATACAGCCACATCATCAGCCCATTCCTCAACCCCTACATCTATCTCGGCCACTAACTGTTCAAGGCGAAAGCGGCCCCCTCGAAAGGTCTGCTTCGTCGAACACAACCGCAAAGAAGCAACGAAGACCCTCATGAGACATTTGCAGAGCAACCCGATGTACGCGCCAAGCGGCAGCCGCGAGTATGTGGAGGTGTACGATTGGCGCCTTTTGGAAGACGTCACAGCATTGGAAAAGGTGCTCAAGGGATCAAAGCCGTCGAAGGGGCAACCGGATCCCAAGAGGAAGTGGTGGGTTGGATTGGCTTAGCAAAGTCTTCTCGTTCTCTCTCGTCTACTAGTATGGGAGTGATAGTTGCCTGTACTTTGCATAGCGTAGCCACGGACATACACGTCACGGCGTTCTCAGTTGTTTTGTAAATGCATACGAATTTTTCCCGAGATTTTGATTTGTGCACTGTGAGAAACTCATGCCTTGGCCTCTCCTTCCTCCTTGTACAGGCCCTTGTAACTCTCCCTCAACCTCATGAACAAGTGATCATCAGCAGTCATCACCTTGCGCTCCGCGTAGGGATTCGCGTTGGGCGTCCCCTCGGGCGCAACAAACTCCTTGACCCTGTCGCTCGGCACAGGATCCAGCGCCACAGAGCCCACGGGATGACAAAAGAAGGCCATGGAGTACCGCGGGCCGGTGTCCGTCTCTCCCTCAGCGCCCTCGCCGCCGAACACGACACGGTGGACGGTGCTCCGGAAGAGGCCATTGGTCCAGTAGCTGAGCAGGTCGCCGATGTTGATGAGGATGGGCGGCAGGACGTCGCCCTCGGTACCGGGGGGCGTGACGGGGACGGGGGCCCAGGTGCTTTCGCGAGTGAGGATCTCGAGCCCTGCCTGGCCGCGGAGGCGGAAAAGGAGGGTCACGGAGCCGTAGTCGGAGTGGGCTCCAGCGCGGACATCGTCTGGGTTTGACGAGGTGGCTGAGGTGGGCGGGTAGTAGAGCATGCGGAGGATTGTGCCGGAGTCGCCTTTCGAGCGGAGGTGGGCGGACGAGAAGAAGGTGGGGGGGTCGACCTGGTAAAGGGAGTTTAGTGAGCTACTCAGGGAGTGAAGCTGGGAAAGGGAAAGGGGAAGGAATTTACTTCGAGGCCGATGCCGAGAAGCTCGAGGAGTTCCAGGCAGAGGGCGTGACACTGATCTCGGAACGAATTCAGGAAGGGCTCATCGGCTTGAATGGTGGGAGGCAGAGGTTGCTGAGCCTTGCCATCTTTGAACTCGCCAAAGTTGAAGGCCCTGAGCGTTGTGTAAGTCCAAATACTGGGGAATGCAGGTACCATATGGCCTTACTCCTTGTAATCGCCGACCTGTCAAGAGTCAGCATCTCAACATCCTTCAGTTTAGGGCATTCTCATTCATACCTTTTGGTTCTTGGGGTCCAGAGTCTCAGAGTGCATGCCAGACCAGCCGCGGTTGTTCTTCTGGATCGTGCACGCAGACTTCTCCTCGACGGGAGCCTTGAAGAGCTTCTTGGACTATTTTCTTGCGTCAGTCATTGCTACTTCATTCCCAATAAAATCTCGTAAGGTTGGGGAATACCAGATCAAATGCCGAATCTTGATCGCTCAGCGTGATATACTTGCCAGTGTTGCGGATATAGATGAAGCCATGCTCAACGGCGGCACCGACAAGCTGGCGGGCAACAGCGGTCCTGTCGACACCCTGAGCAGCAATGTCAATAATTGGGATGTTAGCCTTGGGCGCCATCACTGATTGTCCTTCTCTGTCGGTAAATTACAATCTGGTGAGTAAGACAAGGTAGAGGGGAAGCGGCCGGAGCTGGCTTATGAGAATGGAGGGTTGGAGGGGCGAGATTCGATCGAAGTCGCGCGAAGTGGGATGCGATAAGCGATAAGAGTGGGATCATGGAGGGGCGGACGGGACCGCTTGGGGCCGGGCAACGACTTGGGTAATGACTATTACGAAGCGTTAGATAGTGACTGAAGGGCGGAGAGGTCCGAGGAAGCAAGACATCCACGGTTAGATTTGGTTTCACGAGAGGCTGACGGGGTCTCGCGTTGCAAGTGTGACTTAGGGGACGAAGAATGTACGGATAGTGGAGTAGCGAATGCAATATTCAAGTAATGAAGTTTGAACTTGGCGAGAGCTTGCCAGCTAGCAAACGTTCCCCAACGCCACGAAATCTAACGGTCAGGCTAGGCCGAGAAAGCGAATGAGAGGTAGTCCAAGCTTACTCTGGACGAGTGGAAAAGAGACGTCTGCTCGTAAGTCTTGATTTGAGGATTGCTCTGGTCAAAGAAACCTCCCGCAGGCACCAGGGCGAGGTTGTCCCTGAGCAGGGTTCAGGCCGCATAGTCGCGCTTGCGCCATCGGGTACTCTTGATATATTCAAACAGCCTTCTCGGCCACGTGCTTTAGGATGAAGACCAAAGAGATGCAAGCCGGTATTAATGATAGACCCCGAAAGTCCCATTTGAGTGTCCAATTGCGGGTATTCGACACATGGAGATGCCGTGGAGCGGATACTTGAAAGGTGACATGATGGTTCTTAGAGGCTCACACTTTGGGAACTCCCTTGTCGCATGGTGCCGGGTAGGTATGCGAAGAAGATGGTAGGACGCGGCGCCACTTCCATTGCAGCTGTGACCTGAAAGCTTGCTGTGCTCCCGGAGAAGGTCGTTTGAAGATGTTTGTCGGGGCAGACATGCAAGGGATCAATCAAGACATGGCTGCATCGCACATCCCTGACACGGAGGACAGGCGAATATAAAGAGCGGGGATGGGGGCAGGCGGGGACGGGAACCGCTGCAAGGTCGGTCAAGCGACGCTGCTGTGGCTCAAGCGATGGCTCGTGTTGGCGGGTGTCGGCGGGAACTTGGACCGGCAACGTGTTGTTGGAGACGTTTGATTGGCATACTGGGTGGGAGACAGCTGGTAGACGTGGCTTTGGACTTGTAAAGTCAACGAAGAAAATACATTTTAGGAATCATATAGGTAGTCGATATGTTTCAATCGCACTAGGCTACGGCCTGAGGTGTGTCAATGTGCGAGGTAAGGTAACCTAAGGCAGCTGCAGGACAGAACGAGAATGAGCGCTTGCCAAGCATCGCGGGAGGCCTTCACGCGCCAGCCAGCTCCGACTGTAGATGGGAAACCGCAAGCCACATGCACCGCCACAGTTTCCACCCACCTCTTCTCCCTCCAGGCTCCTTCCATCTCCTCACACGCTAACCCTACAACTTCCCTAGCGCCCCAAAACCCAAGGGTTGCCAACTTGCTCCCCCTGTACAGCGGTCCGGTACCTCGCACCTGCGTTCCTGAACCCCCAAACTTTCCGATTACCTCCCCTCCGCCAGCGTTCTTTTCCAAAGCTCCCCTCTTCTTTGAGACACGCTTGTCAGTGTCACTGGCCCTGTAGACGGCCGTTCTCTTTTTCATGACAAGCTCAGTCATTCCTTTGGAAGTCAGTTGAACTTCTTCCACAAAGCCTCCGGTCTCTCTGCTCCCCTGAGTGGTCTCGCGACCAAAGCTCCACCCGCTTCCCACCCCCAAACGGATTGCTGTCAACTCGAGCTGACAAGCTCCTCGCCGTTGCGCAAGGCCCGACAAGATGCCTTGTGAGTCTCCCTCTTCTCTTCCGCCTCCCCAAGATCCCCACCCCGCGATGCGCTGGCCCTCTGCTGTACGAACTCTTTCTCCCGGAACCTCGCCTTGCCGTCACATGCCTTCCAGGCTACCTGCGTCATACCAGCTTCCTGCGCTTGAAAACATCCGATTCCGCGGCACCTGCCCCGAAGCTCTGCGCACACACACACACATACACACACACATACACACACCGTAGCTTCGCCTGTCGAGAAGCATCGAGATTCTGCCAGAGTATTGGCGTAGAACCTCTTGAGCTATACACACCAAAAAAGCCATTCCGACTTTCTGCAGACGTTGCGTCTCACCACATCCCCAAAGCAAGGCGAGCAAGACGACTACTTCCGGACACCTCAGCTTCTCTTCTCGCTCTTGCGCTTCAATATCACCGCACTACGTTCTGCAACTCGTACCATGAGATCTACTGACTCAATATGACAGGCCTTGTGGAGGACTCTTGGATCAATGGCCAGGCAGCGTAAGTTGAACAGGCCCATTACGTTGAGGTTCTTGTAACTAAATTATGTGAGTAGGAGTCACGATGTCTCCGAGCTCGAGGACTGCGCGATAGCCATTGATGCGACATACTACCTTCAGCTCTTCCTCGATACCCCTCCTTTCCACGAACCGCTCCTGCCCGCCCTTGGTGGCATGACTGGCATTGAGTACCATCTCCGAGCCGATATCGAGCAATGGAAGGCGCACAAGATTGTACCCTTCTTCATCTTTGACGGACAGTCTGTGACCGGTCAAGAGGAGGTCGCTGTTCAGCGAGGCCGAATTGCCAACCAGAAGACGGACGAAGCTTGGAACCTATACTTCAACAGCCACGCACAGAAAGCTGTCGACGCGTTCGGCGCCAACAGCGGTACGCGTCATTATTGCGATGCTGATGGGCCACACTGACCGTGAGACTACAGGCGCCTTTCGCATCCAGAACCTCTATCCCTTGCTGAAGTCTATCCTGAAGGACAACGATCTGCATTTTCTTGTGCCCCCTTACAACGCCTCCGCTCAGGTAAGTTCGAGCTCGGATAAGCCGAGAAAGGTTCGAGGCTGACGGGTTGTTAGCTCGCCCACTTCGACATGATCGACTCGGACCAATGCGCCGCTGTTATGGGCTCACAGGAGCTGATCCTGTATCCGATCAAGGACACCTTGATTCGCACGATAGACTGGGAGGCAAAGACCGTCACATCGTTATCCAAGAAGCACCTAGTGCGGTCACTGAACATTAGTGAAGGCATGCTGAGCGATGCTCTCCTCATGACCGGAACCTCCTTCCTACCGCCCTTCCCTCCACTCCTGGATACATCACTCAACCCACGCCAACCTTTTACTATCAACGATGCTGTCAACCTTCTTAGAGCGTCGGAGAAATCTGTTCAATCAGCTTGCAGCTCCTATGGTGACATTCTCAAGTCGAAGGATCCCAACTGGCTGGGCAAGTACAGACAAGCCAAGATGGCTGTCAATCACTTCATCTACATTTCCGAAGAGGGTGAGATCAAAGTAAACGACTTTGACCACATCACGAACGATAACCACGAATACCTTGGTCTTCAGCTTCCTGGAGAGTTGTTCCACTATCTTAACACTGGTCTCATCGGCTCGCGCGTTCTCGACTATATAACACATAGCCGTATCGTCGTTACGCCTACGCTGGATGGTGTTGCTTCAGAACAGTACAGGAAGCTGGTCACCAGCCAGCTCGTTCCTCTCAAGGAGCAGAGCATCGCCCTCCTGATACCCAGACTTCATCGCGGTCTCCAGCACAACGCCATCACCATGAAGGTATGGTTTGATGACAACTTTTCGTATAAAATCAACAAGTCTCTGCAGCCATCACCATCTCAGCGTGCCGCCACATGGGACGTGAAGGAAAGTACCTTCAAGGCTGTCGCCGATGATGTCGCTGATCCCCCCGGCTCCATCGCGTTTGAGATTTTGGCACTCTTGTTCGAAGATTTTGTCAAAGGCACTTTTCCTAAAGAGAAGAAGCGTATTGGAGGCATCGATTCTGTTCAGAATATCACGGCGGTTGCTAACTGGAGATTCCTCCATCTCCGCGGTTACGTGGATGATTCGCACACGTTGACGAACTGGGGTAACGCGGTTGCTAGCGCAATTTGGGCGATGAAGGACTCACTCAAAGATTTGCAGGTTCCTGATGGTCTAAATATATTCGAGGCTATCCTGAATGCATTCGAGCTCATCAGACACGATGTGCTCAACTCGGGCCATCGACACGAGGAGCTGAATGGCGCGCCAATGACTGGCAGTGACGAAGACAAGGCGAGCATTCTTCTCATCAGCCGATGCGCCTCGCTATTGAAGCTTCGGCACGAGTCCAACGGTTATACCGGACCGCTCAACAAGAACCTTCTCCTGTTCCGGTCACTTTCGACCGCTGTGCGTGAGGCGGATCGAGACCTCGTTGAAGCAATCGTGGCGTCCATGTTCCTTTACGCACAGTCTAAGAGAGATCGCGACGATTACCTGCAAATCAGCCAGACGTAAGTCACTTCCTTACCCTAAATTGTCTCAGCTCCTGATACGTTACAGCTTGCCCTTCCTTCACAACCCCGATATTGCTCTCGGCATCGCGGTGAAGACACTCATGGACGAACTTCCCGCTAGTGAGAGCGTTGAGAAGCGACAAACCAGGATTGAGGATTTTCCCGGAAAGTTCTTCCCTTTCGCTACCAACTTCAAGGAGGATATACAACTTGCATTTGTCTTCTTCGAAGCCATCCACAAAGGAGTGCAGACGCTTGACAAGGAGGTGTCGGCGGCGGATAAGGCTGTATGGTCAACAGCGAGCAAGTACCTGGACCAGAGGCGGTTTTAGGGCTGAAGATATCTGGCCTTATAGCGTGGCGTTGGAGAATCAAAAGCAGACGAAGGACTGGACAGTATGAGGCACGCCGAGCTGCCACCGCATATGGGCAGTATTCACCCCTGGGGTGGAACATGAGACACTTGTCAGTCCATGTATAGCCTCAGGGGCTTGGAGCGTGCGGCAAGGCTCGAAGCTGGATCCAGACAAAGATTAAGTTTGCATTACAATTTTCATAAAGCCGTAGGTTAGCTGTTCTATATCGGATGAATAAGAGCAGACTTTACCTATAACACGATACCAGTCGCGTCTGGAGTATGTCTACGATGTACCACTATTTGACCACTAAAGTGACTTGCGGTGATTAGTGAGCCATTGCTGTGGGACTTTTACGTCAAAGTAGTGTAAATTCTCTTCTCTATTTCTGGAATTCATAGGAGTACCCATATCCCAAGAAGAGGAGCTACTTTGCATACTGGATCCGGTACGTTCTACCCAGGTCCATGTCTCCAAAGCAGTTTATTTACAGCCACTCTAGCTGAAAATGCAGGTCGTTGTCATGAGCTAATCCGTGCGGTACCTCTCTACCCAATGCCACCAACTTGTGTTATGCTAGAGATGTTTCCATTGCCCCCCTCGAACGCCAATTCCATGCAAGCAAGCCAAGTGTATTCCTGCTCCCAAACCCACCCTCGCCGTAAGTGACACCTGACTGCGTCGAAGCAGCCATGGCAAATTCCCGTTCAAATGAGCAATCGTCTTTTGATCGGCTGAGGTACGGCCATTTCATTTATCTCCAATTCTTCCTTCGCTTGAATCTTATGGCCCATTTGGCGGATCTTCTCGAGTAGATGACTAGAATCCTGTTAGAAAACCTTAATTCGAAGAACGGCTGAACAGACTGGGGAAATAGAACGGTATTCTCGTTTGCCTTGTCCATATCAGATTCGGCATGCTTCGAGGATGTTTTTTTCGTCCCCGTCTGGAACAGATCCACTTGGATTTGTGTTCCAAAAGGGGAAACTTCTGGTGGTTCGTCCGAAACACAAGCATATCTAAATTCAGGAGACGGGGGTGGGGAGAAATACTCTATGGGGAGGTGATTCTTGTCACCCTCCGTCACTGCTAAGTGGATGCGTTGAACCTGGTTCTCGTCTTCGTGGTAATGCGCATCTTGCATGTGGTCGTTGATTCTCACTCGTCCGTCCTCTGATTCTGGGTTTCGCTCTACGAACCCGCAGTCGTCTTCGTCACAGACCCAGGTGCCGTTCGGCCCTTTGGGTATTGATGTTGGAATGTTCTCTGCTCGTACGACCACCTTCAATGCGGTAGGCGATTCTGCGGAGTCCACACTGGAATCGTCATCATCAGAGCTGCTACCATCATTCATGACTTCATCCTCGCCTGAATCGTCGGCATGGAATCTCTTTGCAATCTGCCGGGAGATGCTCTCTGGAGTCTCGTCTCCAGAATCATAGCGTCGTTTACCTCCGGTGCCTGCAAGACGAAGGCCCGACATCTTTCCCGCTGGTCGGCCAACACGTCTTGGAGGAGGAGTCGCAACGTTTGCGGTCCTATGCGCCTCATTGTTGGGGAGTGACGGCCAGCGATTCCGTGCTATTGATACTTCCTTGGCCCTCCGTCGAATTAGGGCGTCAGGAATTTGGTCAAGTTTAATGTGGTAAAGAGAGATGCGAGGGGCTTGGGCAGATTCCTCGAGCGATTTCCAGAAAGCAGACCCTCTCCACTCATCCTGATTCAGCCGTTCAAACAGCTCTTTTGCATAGTACTTGAGGATGTCCGCCGCTCCCAAATAGGCTTTGACCTTGTACTTGTAGTACAGCCTTGATGACACCTTGGAGAACGCTGCTTTGTTTAATGGTTCGACTTCAGGTTTAATGTCCTCGATAGCTTCTAGGAGGGCGTCCACGTTGGATCGGTGATGAGCCATGGTGACAATTTCCGTCTGATGTGGAACCTCAGGAGTAACGTACACCGCCATGGCTTCCCCCCGAGATTCGAGGGCAGGGGGCGACTGCGTCTTCGTCTTTCCCCTTGATCTCGACCTCATGTCTCGTGCAGAGGGAGCAAAGTCGTGCGAGTCGGTCTGGCTATCGCCAGCAGGTGTGTTTCTTTGCTTTCGTTTCGACAACGCCTTCTGCGCAACTGGTTCTTCAGAGACAGCCGGTGTCACCACAGTCTCGGTCTCCTCGAGCAACGATGGACCGGGCTTAATGCCCGCCAATTTCTTCTTCCTCAGTTCGAGAACCTTCTGATGAACATCCTAAGATAATTAGGTGAGACTTGAACAGTTAGGGTGGAGCTACTACATACTACGTGTCGCTCAGTCATCCATCTGAAAAATAGCGTTGGCACCCAATCAAATTCTGGCTCTTCGTAGAAATGGGATATAAGAAACGACGCATGGTCGTCGCAGCGCTGTTCGACCTCGTCGAGTGTAGCACCATCGCCCATGGCTACTGCATACTATCATTTGTGTCAGCAGAGACCGCTAGATTCATCTCCGCAAACGCTCACCTTAAACAGCAACGCCTCAATGGTCAGTTCCTCGGGGGTGTCCGTCGTCACATCCGCCTGCTTGACCTTTTTGCCCTTCTTTTGCTTTTGGCCCTTCTTGTTGGCCCCTAATTCCTGGGATTCTGCATGCTCTTCGATAATGTCAAGGATCGAATAGTAGACCGAGACACCTTCGATTGTGTGGTCGAATATCTCCTTGTAGGCGCCTGACGGGGGTCGTATTTCGTACCATCCTGCCGCACCCCCAGCCCATGCTCCGTAGCCGTTGCTGCTAACGCCGATGGCGTAGCGAGTGCATTCGTGGGTTTCGATCAGGGCTGATCTCGTAGAAGGTTTCACAGCTGCTCAAGGTAAGCGTTTGAAGTAGTGAAGGTTCAAGAACCGGGGCCGACCTCTTGCCGTCTGCGGCCCGTCGATGATGACGCGACCTCGCACAATGAATGGACCCTGAGTGTTGACTGTGAAGAGCTCAACAGGGCGACCCTTCTTGTCGCAGATCATAGCATCCTCAAGAACAAAAGTTTGCAGCATATCCCCCTTCGCCGGCTCAAATCTTTTAAGTACGCTCAATTCTTTGGCGTAAGCTTGTCTGTCGTTCTCGATGGTGCCAGTCGTCGAATCCGACGTTCGCCGTCGCCGTCCCGCCATAGTGACGACTGAATCTGCTGTCGTTCCAGGTATGGGCGATCGAATCGGACAAAGCTGTGGGAGCGAGACTTCTTGGTGCACGAGGCGCAAAACCGTGATAGTTGCAAGCGCAATAGGCAGGCTTGGGCTGCGTCTCCCAGGGGGGAAGGAGTAGTTGCAGGGTGACAGTGCACGTTGCGACGAGCCACTACGATGATGTGTGGTGGGAAACTAGCACGCGAACGCGATCCCCGAATCCATTAAAGAAAGCGCGCGGAGTGTCGTACCTGTCTCCAGGAGAACCTACAATGTACAGTCACTGATGCGGGGCAGGCAAGACCGCTCCTTCCCCCACTGGAGCTGGGAAAAGAAGCAGCGGAACTCGTCGCCGGTGCAGGGGACTTGCTAGTGGACGGGCCCAAGAGACAGGGTCTCTGACATTCCTAGGCCAATGGATAAGCCGATAAGAATCGCTGGAACGTCCCTGCCTAAAAAATTTCCCAGAACTGCATGCAGAGAGGCGCAAATCGACTGGAAGCGCAAAAGCTAAAGAGAAGACCGCACCTCCCCCCGCCGACCGCAACGTTTCTTCCTCTCTTCTCTCCCCCAAACACTTTGATATCGGGCGAATGCGAATTTCGCACACTCTCTGGAGGATGGCGAAAGACACCATATACGAAGGCGTCTTCGGTAAGCGTCGACTCCTTACTTCCCTTTGTTGCTCTTTGAGCGCTTCTAGGCGCAATGTAAATCGACAACCGCTGACCATCTTGTCCCCGATTAGCCATCAACAAGCCGTACGGCATGAGCTCTGCGCAAGTGATCCGTGATTGCCAACAGCAGATGAACCCTTCGGCCATTTTCAAGCCATTGATCGAGAGGGATCTCGCCGCCAAAATGCAGGAATCCAAGTCAGAATGGAAGCGTCGCCGAGCCGTTAAGAAAGACTCTCGCGTGAAGATGGGCCATGGAGGTACACTCGATCCATTGGCCACCGGCGTACTCATTCTCGGTGTCGGATCGGGCACCAAGTCACTCGGCTCATTCCTCGACTGCACCAAGACCTACGAGACAGTGGTGCTCTTTGGCGCAAGCTCAGACACCTACGACCGCGTGGGTAGAATATTGAGCAGACGGCCGTACGATGAGATCACAAAGGAAAAGGTTGAAAAGGCGATGGATAGCTTCCGGGGCAAGTTCCAGCAGATTCCCCCTTTATACTCCGCACTCAAGATGGAGGGCAAGCCGCTGTACGAGTACGCTCGCGAGGGCAAGGCTATCCCGAGAGAAATCGTGGGAAGAGACGTCGAAGTATCCGAGCTCGAAATGGTCGAGTGGTACGAGCCTGGAACGCACAACTACAGATGGCCTACCGAAGAGGCTGAGACGGCCGAGAAAAACCTCGCTGAGCAGGTCTGGCGAGTGGAAAAGCAACAGGGTTCCGGCCGCCGGCTTACTCCTGAGGAGGAGAAGGAAGAGGAGAAAGCCCTCTCCGAGCACGAGACTGTGAAGAAGAAGTTTGAGGAGCGCCAGGATGGTCTTATCCGCGATAAGCCTGCCAAGAAGCAAAAGCCTCCAAAAAACCCGGCTCTGATGTCTGGCGCCCTGGGGCAGCTCCCAGCCGGCAAGGGTTCCAACCTTATCCCTCCCCCTCCGTCTGAGGATGAGCCCTTCCCTTGGACCGACAAGGGCCCACCTGCCGCCAGGATTCGCATGAAGGTCACCTCTGGATTCTACGTTCGCAGCTTCTGCCATGATTTGGGTGCCAAGGTCGACTCTGCGGGCATGATGGCTGAGCTTGAGCGATCTCGACAAGGCGACTTTGAGGTCCGCACTGACAGCTGCTTAGAGTACGATGACGTTCTCAAGGGAGAGGAGGTCTGGGGACCCAAGGTTACGAAGGCGTTGGCGGCATGGACCGAGAAGTATCCCAACGGAGCGCCGCAGTCGCAACGCGAACGACAGAACGTTCAAGGCCAGCAGAAGCAGCAGAACCAGGGCCGCAAAGAAGACAGAAAGCGCAAGTGGGAGAACAAGAGCTTTGATAAAAATGACAACGCCGCTAAGAAGAGGAGAAACTCCAGCTCGGGAGATGAGGCACCTGCCGCTAAGGTGGCCAAGTCGGAGCAGGCTAACGACGTTAAGGAGTCCCCCAAGGCATCGCTCACAGGATCACCAAAGGCATCCCTCAAGACATCACCTAAAACGTCACCCAGGGCTTCCCCCAAAGGTTCTCCCAAAACCTCTCCCAAGGCGAAGGCAGCTAACACAAAGAAGCATGAAGATGAGTGGGAAGGTATCCAGGACTAAACTTGAGCGTCGCATAGACGAGATTCGTACACGGAGACAGGCAGAAGGGCTTTGTTGAGGACAGGTTGACGTTGTGTGGCTACGGCCTGGGAAAAGGGCACGGCGTACGGAGGCTTCATTTTGCATGACCCAGAAAAGTATTGCGGACCGAGGAGATACAGTTGGACACTGGCCCAAGACTTATTTATTTCGACTTGCCACTTTCCCTTATACAGGAAAAGATGAGAGAGAGAGCGAGGCTTCGTCTCAAACGCATCCCTCATGCCTTTTATTTTGCCTACTCCAGAACCCGAGACCGTGACCTGGTATGCAATTTCCCCGATAAATCCGTTAAGTGCCTTTCCATCCGATTACGCTCCAAGCTGAACCGCAAATATTCGTAAAATTTGCCCAAGATTTCCGCCCAATATGCTGTTCATGTCGTCATAAAAGTCCGCGGATATCGCACCGCTATGCATCGTACAATCCTCCACCAGATCCATCTTTCTTGCCGTCATCACGGTTGCGAAGCCCTCTTCTGCTCCGCCGCCTGCCTAACACCCTCATCTCTGGCATTCATCTCCCCCAGCAGCGACCTGACCCTCTCGATCCTCCCCACGGCCCCCTCGAGCCGGTCCAACCGCCGCAGTTTATCCTTGTCCCGCTTCTCTAGCGTCTCGACCCTCTCCTCGAGCTTCGCCCGCGCCCGCCGCTCCGTCGCGACCATCTCGTTGGCCTGCTCAAACAGGCTGACGCTGAGCTCCTCCACCTCCTGGCTCGTTGTGCTCAGCCTGCTCTCCGCCGCCATCCTCATCTTCTGCTCCCTGCCCAGCGCCTCCCGCAAATCCTCCGTCGACGCGGGGCCGTCTGGCGGCGGCGGCGGTGACGGCGTCCGTAGGTTCGGCGTGGACTTCATGCCCCGCGGGCTGAGGAGCTGCGACAGCCTGTTCGCGCCACCGCTCAGGAAGCTGGTGCGGGTCGGCGAGGGGGTGGGGGCTAGGGGTAACGCGGGAGCCAGGGCCGCGGGCGAAGCGGTGGAGGTCTGGGAGGCGGCGACGCGCAGGCGGGTGAGCTCGTCTTCGTAATCGGCCCAGCGGTCGACGGCGGCGGCGGCCTTCTGATTGAGGAGGCGGACCTGGGCTTCGAGGTCGGCGATGCGGGACTGGGCTTCGAGGAGGGCCGGCGGGGCTTCGAGGACGACGCCGCAGGAGGGGCAGGAGTGTTGCTCGGATCGGTCTGTTGAAAGGGAGAGGGTTGGCGGCGGGGGCGGCGGGTGCGCGGCAGTCATTGTCATTGTCGCGCTCATGGCTTTTTGGGGGAGGGTGGGGTTGTGTGTGTCGATCCCAAGCAGGCGCTTTTTCGGTTGCGCGGTGGTAGTGGGATTCTGTTTGCACTTTCTCCCGTGAGGATCCGTGGAAAGACGAGAGGGAGATGCCGAACTGTACTGGACCGGCGAAGCGGCGGTGAGAGTAGATCAAGCTTCTTTTTAGGTTGTAATCGAGTCGTCCAAGCCCCCGCGTGAGGAGGGAAAAGCTACCTTAGCGGCGGGGGGGCTAGAGTTTGAAAGGTGTGACGTCGATGTGCTAAAGGTTCATGAGGAGGGGGGATGAAATGCGAAGGTTGGCGTGCGCACGAGCATATACCGGGCTATATCAGAAAAAAATAGAGTGTACGAGAAAGGTGGTTTGGAACTCTTATTCGTAACAGCGCGGCGCTATGAGGAGGCAGAAAAGTCAAGGTAAACTTGCCTGGCTCGTCGCAGTTTCGGCAAAGTGTCATCGAGTGTGAATATTGAATATCGACAAGCCCACCGAGAAAAAAGCAAAGGGAAGGGAAGGGAACAAGAGACAGTAGGATATTCGGGTTCGCAAAAGTAATCAAGGTGCGATAAAAGAACCCCCATCTGTCTGAAATCCACCTTGGCCACCAGACTAACGTGACACTACACCTGCCTCTTTTCCTTTCTCTCTCCCTCTAAATCCACGACGCGAACAGTGAGTGATAACTGCGCCTCCTTGCTTTTCGTGGGAATTCGGGGGGACCGGGGTCCCTCAGTCCCAAACGGGCGGGCCCTTTGAAAACGGCGTCGGGCGATTGGGCGAGGAAACCCGATTTGGGCTTAAGGGACGACGGGGACCGCGGTGCTCCACCCAGTTTTGTTCCAGCACCCTCCTTGTGGTTGAAGGCTCGTCAACCGAGATGGCAGGGAGAGACGGGAACGGGTTTGCGACTTTTGCTTGAGCCTTCATTTGCTTACATTTCTTCGGCATTCTTTTACTACCTGCGGGCCACAACCGTTTGATTAAACAAAGTCACGTTCCTTTCTTTTGGTCCAATTTTTTTTTACTGATTGTATGATTGTTTAATTTAATGTAAATTATGGAATCTCCGCTCAAGTCCATGATCCGACGGAACGCAACAATGGGTTACACTTGCTTGGGGTTCGGTGATATCCTAGGTGTCATGTTTGACCGAACATAGACGCCCGTAATCTCGTCCCTTCCCCCCCTTCGCTCGTCCATTGTCTCTGGCGCCCAATATCCATTCCCATTTGACAACTCTTGATCGTTTCCTTGCATGAATAGGGCTCCCGCATCGGACTATCCATTACTCAGTCCTTTGACCTCGCAATGTCCCGCGCTAAGTCTCCGCTGCAGTGTATATGAAGGGCACCTTGCCGGCCATGCAACCCCCCCCCAAACCGGTCTTGCAGCATTGGTTGGCAGTGGAGCTCATGCTTTATTTCTTGTCAAAAATTCATGCATCTTTGGCGGCGGCAGCTGCAGCTTCAGAAAAGCTAACAGAAAGCCGCGTCTGCTTACAGTGCAGTGCGCCAGGCCGAGTCGGCCCTCGGGTTCGCTCCAGCAGTCTGAAACTGCCCGACAAACCCGCTGGCGTGTCGTCATGCCGACCTCCCGTTTCGAAACGCCGCGAGAGCACTTCCCTGTCCAGCGAGGAGGGTAAGAACAGCAACCAAGCCTCAGCCTCAGCCTCGTCGGCCGTCGGCGAGGCGGTGCAAAATACTTTGCGACTTCAAGCGTCTGAGCGTTTTCAGCTGCAAACTGCTATTACAGCTCGACCTGCACACCTTGATATAGCAATGAGTCTTCTCCCCGGGTGCAAGAAGATGAGGGAACGCGTCCATCAGTTCGGCTTGGCCACCTTGCGCGGCTCTCCGATGCCCGTCTCCGGGTCCTTGTACTCCTTCCAGCTGACCGGCACCATATCGTTGCCAGCCTCGCTGGTGGCCATAATGACACCCAACTCGTTGGCGGCTGTGGAGAGATAGTAATTTGCCTGGTCTCCCAGAGAAATCTGATACATCGGGTCAGCCATCTCTCGTCCTCAGTTGTGAATTTCACGCAAAATCACTCACCACCTGTGCCCGCACCACGTCACCTGGCTTAAAGCTCTCATAAATCTTGACCTTGTCCTTCTCCGTCGCTCTCACATCCTGAGAGCGAATGACACCCTGCCATTCGGTCTGCAGCACCGTGTCGCCAACCTGCTGGATCGTAACGATGGCCTGCTTCGGCATCAGCCGCACGACGCGGCACAGCACCACGTTGCCAACGTCAGGGAGCACCTCGCGCTTCTTACTGGCGCCCTTCCGTGCCACAGAGATGGTCGCCAGCTCCTCGGGCGATAGCGGCGTGATGCGGTTGAGGCGCTTGGTGAGGCCCGCCTGGGCCTTGGCTGAGGGTGTGACGATCACGTCGCCGAGCAGGGAGGCCACCACATTTCCGTTGTAGACGTGTGTTCCTGGGCCGGCGGCGTACCGCGTCGTCGGGCCGAGGACCTTGCCCGGCACGGCGATCTGAGGCGTCTCAACCGTGGCCATGATGAGAGCTTTGGGTGGATATATGACGTGTAAGAGTTGACTGTGGTTGGAGCTCTTGTTTGTACCCGTTGCCGCGCTCGAGTGTACTTGAGAGTGAGTAGTGAAAAGTGAGGGACCGATGTGAGGTGACCCCAGTCGCGAATTCTCCTCGGTTCCGTGGATGAGACTGAGTGTTAAAAAAAGTCCGTTCCGTTTATTCGGTGGTTGAGATGCACTTGTCAAAACCCGAAAGTCCGATTTTTTTTCAGTGAATTGCCCAGTCGACGGCCCCGCCATCCGGACAGCTACAGCTAACCCAGGAGCTAGCCCCGCTGTCAAGCTCTGTCAGGCCACTGGCAAGTCGAACTTCCGGGGCGGTGGCGCAAGGCAGAAAGGCGGAAAAGGAAAATGCAGGGTCCTACCAATCTCTCAACCAAAAACAATGAGCGATGCGACAACGGCTGGAGCTCAACGAAGCCTTCTTAAACATCGCCGGTGCTCCCGTCGTAAACTTCGTGACCGCCCTCTCTGTCCCTTCCAACCCACCGTAGTCCGCCAATTGGACCACCACGTTCCTTGCATCCCATTTTCATTCATCTCGAGTGTGTCGTAAGACTCACTTTTGCGCCATCACCATGCCGTCTCTCGGGCGCCTGTTTACACTGGCGTTGTGGATCGGTCTCCTGACCCCCATCTACCTGTTCCTGGAGAAGAACCTTGAGAAGTTCTACATCTTCGACCACGAGCACCTGCACGACCTTTCCAAGCGCGCCATCGCCGCCCATGGAAACGACACGCGCTCCGTTGTCAACTACATCGTGACCGAGTTGAACGGCATTCACCCCACGAACGTCAACCTCGACGAGGAATGGGTCTTCAACAACGCCGGCGGTGCTATGGGCGCCATGTACATCATCCACGCCAGTAAGCCCCTCCTTCCTTGAAATTGTAAAGACAGAAAAGTCGCAGTCACTGACAGAGGACCGTCAGGTATCACCGAGTACCTCATCGTCTTCGGCACCACCCTCTCCACCCAGGCTAGCTCCTCCGCCCCCTCCGCCTCCGACTCCGGCTCCGCGTCTGCTTCTACCTCCGGTGCCGCCACCACCTCTGCTGCGGCCGGCACCTCGTCGGCCACGGCCACCCGTGTCACTTCCATCGGAACCTCCGTCGTTTTTGTATGTGTCGCCTGGGCCTGGTCTCTGATGTAGACGAATCTTCTCCTTATGAAAGGTGTTGTTAACGTGTGTCTTCTTTCTCACCTTGTAGCCTTCCGGAACTGCCACTCCCAGCACACCAGTCTTTGCCGGTGCCGGTAAGAACGCCGCTGCCATGGGTCTCGCCGCTGTCGGTATGGCCCTTGCTGCCTTTTAAGGGAGACATCCTTGGGATGATGAGAAAGAGTATTTTGTTTTGAGGAAGTGTACATAGGCAAAGATGCCGCACCAACAACTTTACTATTCACTGGAGAAACGGTCATGTTTATGCGTGTATGATAGCGAGCTTGTTATTATACGATTGGAGATAGTATACTAAACCTAATGAGTTCTCCATTGTACGATTTGCTAATGTGATGTGCGATGTGCCAAGTAATTCATAATGCAGCATTCGCCGTCGTCCAGAGTCGGTATCAAAAGAAATAGTGACGTGCGCCAGGCTGAACTCATGTACAGCTGAAAGTTGCAGTCAGTACTCGGTTATGACCTGGCCTCGTTAAGACAAGACGTGCTTCCTCGCTCAACTCAAGTAGTCAAGACAGCTAGCCCCAGAACAACACCCAGGCGACGTGAAATACCACCCCCAAGCCCTCTTGAGCACCCTTACGGGATTCTTCTTCTCCCGACACCAAAACATGGACAACAACAACTCCGCCATGCCGCAACACCCCCGCCAAACTCCCGCAGCACGTCCACCACTTCCTTCATCATCTCCTTGTCGCCCAGCGACTTGTACGCCACAAACGCCATCGGCCGGACGAGGTCATTCTCCCTCACCAGCGTCTGCAGGCCCGTTGAGCGCCTGCTTCCGCGCCAGCTGCCGCGCGCCGTGGCCAATCATGTCCCGGTACAGCAGCGAGGTTCTCGGCGTAGAGCGACTCGAGGGTTTCATGGCCTGGAACCAGCGGTGCGAGTTGCGCTCTCTGTGCTGTCTTGACGTCTGTAGCAGCGGGAGGAAGCTGGCACGTCAGGTTTGGAGGAGGTCGGCTGCATCTCTCCAGACTGCGGCGTCGTTTGTGCTGTCTTGGTCGGGTTTGCGGGGGGACTTGAGCAGCCCGTGGAGGCAGTGCATGATGGCGTGTTGCGTCAGGTGCCACCACCGCGACGCCTCGGTGATGGTACTGAAACTTGACGGGATGTTGTGCATGCTGTATCTGTGCCTGCGCCGTGATGCGGATCCCCTCGGCGCCGAACCCCATGGCCCAGGGATACGTGTCCAATCTCTGCAACGTGTTGAACAAGGCGGAATCGAGCTCAGAAAGAGAAAGCTTTTCAATGGAGACGCCGTCCCGTCCTCTTCCTTCAACCGGAGTTCGAACAAACTGCTCTATCATCGCCGCGGCGCGGTGGTGATGCCGGGACGCGGCCTCGGCGTTCCCGGCCATCATCTCAAAGGTGGCGAAGAGAATCGACATCAGAACCATGTACGGAAGACGCGTTGGCCGTCGCCTTTACGCTGGATACGGCCCTGGACGGCCCGCCCGTATTGCTCCAGCGCGTCGCGGTACTCGGCGTCGACGACGGGGGGGAAGGCTTCCCACAGGGCCCCGATGCCGGAGCAGATTTCCCGGGTGGCCGTCTCGTGGTTGGCTTACTGGGGGGTCATCTCCGCCACGTGGCTCTTGAAGAGCGTGGCGCCCTGTTCCACGCTCACGATGAAGAATTGGAAAGAGTCCCACTGCCGCTGGTTGTGGAATAGGACGGTCTCGTAGCCCGGGTTGATGAGGACGCGGAGGTCGGGGGTTTGCGTCTGCGTCTGCGCTTGCGTATGCGCGGTGCGGGTGCTCTGCTCGCTGCCCAAACTGGGAGTGATCTGAACTGGATTGTGTCTCTGTGGCGGGAAAAGGAGTCCCGAGTCGAGATAGCCCTCGCAGAGGCGATTCGATTTGACGCATTTCGTGCAGTGTGGCCTGGCCAAGTCGCACTTGATGTGGCGTCTCCTACATGTACGGTCCAGGAAGACAGAGACTTGGCCCTTTGGTGGAGTTCTAACGTCCGGTCCGGTCACTTTCTGATCCATACATGAACAGGAGACGCTTCCGTTTCCCTGCTGCGAAGCCACGTGCTTTTTCTCCCATCAAGTCTTCTCCAGACTCTGGTACAAACGATGTAGACTACAATGCGGGGTCCCTGGACACCTCCCTTTCGATGAACAAGTCTCTCATGCTACTCACGCCTTTCTTTCACCCTTTTCAAGATTTTGAGACGAAGCTCTTGATGCTGGCCGCGATTTCAATTCAAGTTGAGAACGCGCATCTCGGTAGCTATGGACTACGAACGTACATGTAGGCTCGAGTGATCTGGTCTTCGTACCCATGACCTCGGTGTCTACTGCAGCGTTCATGTAATATGGCAAAGACGGCGAGCTGGCTGGGAAAACACCAACAGAAGCAGACAGAGCAATTTGGGAGCCGGAAGTCTGAAGACGAAGCTGTTTTGAGAAGGTCTCAAGATCGCATCCCCCCTAAACAGACGGGTGAGATAACCTTTCATGAAGTCAAAACGGAGAATCCCGAGATCTAAGAGAAGCATGCTTTGATGCGACTGACCAATCGCAGACTTCCCTTAACTCTAGAAGCATTCTCGACAGCCAATCAAGAGTGTCGAGATACGTTTGTCCTATTTGGGACTCGGCCTGAATCCTCTTGGTGCTTGATGACTGATGTTAGACTAAAGTTTGTTGCGACTTCTGTCAATTGCACTACCTTTACGATGTTACATTTTTCTTTGGAAACACGTCGTCCCGCAGTTGATTTCCGGATGTCGGAACGGAATGTCTGACTCCAAGTTGAAGTCTACTCAGTACATACTCTCTACACTACTGGCTCACCTCCCAAGAAATAGCAAATCGATATAAGATGAGATTTCCTTGGTGCCAATTAGTAGCAGCGATATGCAATCCTGCCTCGAATTTTGAGTGATAAGACTCAGAGAATATTCCTCAACAACTTGGCCATATTAATGCATCAATTATAATATGAGACTGTTGCGGTCTCTGCTGGTCGTGGTTACCAGATACTTGGCTTGGTGATTGTGTGAAACAAAGAAGGTTAAAATTTCCGAGGCAGAAGTTTGTTGCTACTTCGACGTCTTCTCATGTCTCCCCAAAGGATTTCTGGAACTCACATCACGATATTGTCAACATTGCAGCTTGCAGACTGTAGTCTGAAGAGTGCTGCCTTGTTGAATAGTAGTTAGTTGTAGGACTCGAAACAGAAGCCCCTTTAATGTCCGAGCTCATACTGAATAAGTTGAGATGAAATAGTGGCGTGGGCGTTCGACATGCTGTAAGTACGATCTAGTTCCCGGTGAATTGGAAGCCTTCATTTACCATCGAGCCGGGATAGAGAAAAGCATCGAGGCAATAGTTCGGAAAGTGCCAGACCGCACCCACATAACTTGTGTTTACTAATCGCGAAAGAGTAGATTGATCCACCTTGGTGTTTGACTAATGAGCGACTGGGATGTCGGCAACTAAATACCAACCTGGAAAGGATGAATGAAAGTGCAATGTTCGTGTGATTAGGGTGCTAATCTTGGTAAAAGACAATCGAGTTGCCAAACGAAGCTTGAACTGCGCTTGAGCCGTCGTCTGCGACGTGTTTGAGGGCGATTCCGTTGCATCCAAATTGGCAAAAAAAGGAGACTCAGGAGAGTGCTGACGGGCATTTCTCGGCATACAAAAGTTCATTGAACGAGAAAGGCTATCGGAACAGCAGATACATGTCGAATCGAGGGTAGCTGCCCAGCTGGGCTGCCAGTCTGTAGCCTGGAGTCAAGAGACAGGTGCTTGGAATGTCTACCTCGTTGATTACGCTCCGAATGGACTAGTGCATGCAAAATGATCAACGATCACCGGCCTAGGAGACTTTCCTAGTGTCCATCGAGATCGCCGGGCGCTACTTCCTTCCTACCCCTGAGATCCGCGGCATTGTTTCTTTTCCTAAACTCCTAGATGCTAGCGTCGGTGAGAAGGGAGGAAAGGAGGGAATGGGCTCAAACCACCAAAGCCCAGACCAAGAGTCGTGTGCGATTATCCTCGCAGCCAGGCCCCTTTCAAGGTTCATGTTGCGGGAGACTCCCTTTTAAACCGTCCGATCTTTGAGTCAGTTGATATAGTTCAGCCGAAAAGCTTTGTCAGATTTCAGGTTAACAAACCAGAGAGGCAAAACATATCGACACTCTAAGATGAACGGAGTAAGAGCTGCCCAGACTTTGAACGGGTCCGCCCCAGACCGTTCGTCCGGTTTGTGGCGGGTTTGCACGAATTTCATATTCAACCTCAAACATCGTCATGGATGTCGGCAGTTGGCGACGCTAATGAGCCCCGCCTCGATATTAATTCTCCGAAGTCTCCAATAACGGAACACTTGGACCACAGAAGTCTAATTTACTCGATGGCCCTTTCGGCAACGAAAATAGCATTGAGGATCGGTATAGCTCCTCAATTGATATCACGAATCCGAGTGCATCGGGGCTCGCCGGGCTAGGATGAGGTCGTACGCGGTTATTATGCTCGGAATCTTGTCTCCTGGCTGCTGCGGGACGTCCGGTCCTGCAGCACGTGAATATAAATAAGCCGGCCGATCTCACTCGGGCAACGGTTATCAAGAAAGCCTCCTGCAGCCAACGCAAGTAGTTGATCCCTTCAACAAGCCACTCCTTTAGCAACAACAAACTACAGACATTCGCTTCCAACAGACCAACTCATCAACATGAAGAGCTTCATCAACCTCTTTCTCGCGGCCACCGCCGCCACTGGCGTCATGTCTTTCGCCTTCAGCAAGCCCGTCGAGCGGCGTCACACCGGCGCCGAGCTCAAACTCAAGCTCGCTAACGACGTTGTCAACTCTGCCGCCTACAAGAAGTTCATGAGCACTGAGGTTCTGCACCCGAAGGTGCTCAAGGCTCGCAAGAACGACGATGACGACGAGCCCGACCCAAACCGCAACGCGACCATCCCCGACGCCATCTATGTGCTTCAGTGCGTTGAGGAAGTAAGTGAACGGAGCCAACTGACTTGATCGTGAAACAATACTAACAGAGGCAGGGTTTCCATGGTCTCTGCGGAACCTTCAGCTCCAGCCCCGGCCAGTGTGGTGAGTACCAATCCTCAAAGCCGTTTTTGAAAAGAATCTACGCTGACTCGCATGTGAAGTCTCTTACTACGACTACAACCATCACAACACCACCGATATCAGCAAGCCTTTCAACAACAAGGTCAGTTCCCTGTCTGTCGGCTCCGGTGGCAAGTGCCAGTTCTACAAGTAAGTAGTCTCAAAATGAATTCCAAATGCATTCAGCGGCGGCGTGTTAATGACCTACCAATAGGTACAAGTTCTGCGACAACAAGAACGACGACAGCGGTCTCACCTCTTCTTACAACTTCGACCTGTCCGTCGCTCTGCCCGAAGACCCTCGCACTGTCGAGTACGATAACCAGATCACCTCTTGGAGATGCTAGGCAGGCCAAGCGCCAGTTGATCTTCATTCAGCACTACAGATACGACAAGTGGCAATTGAATTATTCTTGTATTTCCTTGGTTCGGAGTGCCTTGGGTGATGCCTTTGAGCTGCTCTCCAAAGTTTGGGGGCATTTCCATACAGCGTGAAACTTTGCGATGGTCGGGCGAGAAGAACATGAATAAAAAGTACATTACATGACCGGCTTCATCCTAGCAACTAGTGGTCTTGTGCTCGAAAATGAGTGCACATTGGATAACAGCACGGTTCATCTGATGGGGCTTGGTAACGAAGTCCAAAGTAGATGAGTGGTTTGATGAAGTAATCTGCACGTACCGCCCCTTGCTTCCGTGTTGCCAAATGCGGTAGGTTTTATTGCAGACGACAGCTCTGATTGGACCTGTGCTGCTGCATTCGTCTGTGAGAGTTAGACCCCGTTCAGCCGCCATGCAACAATATCGTTTGGAAAGAAACCCGCCTTCGGCTCATGGTTTGATTGTATATCTTCTTTCCTATAGAATCCTTTTCTTGTTCCAAGGCAGGCCTCTGGGTCTAGTCATTCTAAGGTTTGTATGATGATTATTCCAAAGCCCTCCGAGAAACCTCAATCACCACCGCATTCGTCACTCAAATCATCGCGAAGACGACCACGGAGCCCTGCCCCTCACTCAACTGTTCCAAGATCACCTCCACCGGCACCATCTGCAAGAGCTGTTCTGTGGAGTAATGCACTACCACTTTGTCCGTTACAAAGTCTTGCGGCTGCCCCGGCGTTCTCTCAACTACATCCGTCGACTTCGAGTGTGGAGAAGCTGACGTCTGTAATAAGATTGAGTGCAGAACGGTGTACGCAGTGACAACCCCTGTGCGCCAGAATTCCTTTTCTTCTGGAACTCGGAAGGGTGGGGGAAATGAAAAGAGGGGAGGAGAAGGACTTCGGTTCGGTGATCTTCAGGGATTGACTAAACTCTGCTGCAGCTCACATAGGTACCTGATTGCAATTGCAGTCATTCTCTCGAACGAATCAAGTTTTTCGATAGTCAAAGGCCCTATCCAAGAAACCAAGGTTGTACCAAGTGGACGAATCGGACATTCTTTCCTGGAAATAGAGACAGGGCAGCTCCAAATCTCCGCACGAGACATCTCCAAGATGAGGGGTCGTTGCGTGATGTTATTTGGAGACCAAAGGAGAGGAGTTTCGCCCAAGCTTAGACTCTCTGGGCTACTGTGCCGTTCAAGTGCATTGGAGTAATGCGAGTTGGCTGCATGGACCGTTCGAACCAATGTGTGGTGGACATTTCCTGGGCAATGATCACCAGATGCTGCCCGAAGCGAATACATCTCGCCAAAACTGACATGGTTTGGACGAGTATTTGCCCGGCATATCGCGCAAGACAGATCGGCCCGAACTGGACCCCATGACTTCAGTGTTCACTGCCATGTTCTTGAAAGATTGATCATTTTTGATGTCACACAGGCCCCGTTAAGCACGTTTTCTTCCAAGCCTCGGATGATCGGATCCTACCGAATTGACACAAAAAGTGGCCATCGGACCATGATGTTGCGACATAATAGCTGGCCGTGTTGGTTGCCGAGGCACAATCTCTCTTGCGACTTGCGAGCACGCTAGACGAGCCAGTCCAGCGCGCAACGGGAGCTTTGCCCGTCGGTGAAAAGATCGCCTTAAATTGGCCGTTGAAAATTTCAAGACGCTACTGCAAGACCCCCGGCGGTGATGCAAGCGATCAATGACACCAGGCTCCTGGGTTTCTCAATGATTGCTGCGGCTACGGGAATCGCGGGGGGGCGGCTGGGGGGGTTAGATCATCTATTTAGGTACTCCAGTCTGCCCCAGTTCCCCTCATGATTCCCCGCAATTGTCGGTTCGATCAACACCGAGCACGTTTGTCCGGATGCTACGCTGTGCCAGGGTACTCTGGATGGGGACCGGGGTGGCCGGTGGGCAGGGTGGGATGCCTTTAAAGAAGACGCGATGGCTTCTTGCGCGCGCCGTTCTCCATTGGCTGCTGGCTTTACTTTTACGGCTATCAGGTTGCATTGGTCAAGTTTCAGCAATAATCTAGACGCCACGATGAGGTTTGGTCTGAAAGCCGGCGGCCTGCTTTGGCTTGCTGCGTCGCTTTGCGGTACGCAGAGCGCTTTGGCTCAAGATGTTGACTGGCCGATTCATGACAATGGTCTCAACGAAGTCGTCCAATGGTAGGCTGGCTTAATTCGTTGACAGATGCAACATTGGGCTCAATACTGACGGAGTTCCACACAGGGATCACCACAGCTACATTGTGAACGGAGAGAGACTTTTCGTCTTCTCTGGCGAAGTAAGACAACTCCTCTCCCCGTATCGCATGTTGAGATCGTCGGACTAACGATTGCAGTTTCACTATTGGCGTATTCCTGTGTTCGTGATCCAACTCGGTCTGTTCTGCGGGACTTGCTGACATGTCGTGAAGTCCTGAACTTTGGCGGGATCTCCTCGAAAAGGTCAAGGCGGCTGGGTAAGATTTGAGCATGGCAGAGGCAAGCTTCAGGTTGCTGACTTCCTACGATAGTTTCAATGCTTTTTCAATCTACAACCACTGGGGCTACCACAACCCCACGCCCGGTGTGTTGGACTTTGACAATGGGGCCCACAACTTTACCTCTATCATGACCGTGGCGAAGGAACTTGGCATCTACCTCATCATCAGACCTGGACCCTACGTCAACGCGGAGACCAACGCCGGTGGCTTCCCTCTCTGGGCCACTACTGGCGCCTATGGTTCTCTGAGGAACGACGACGAGAGATACACTGCGGCATGGACCCCCTTCTGGTCGGAGATTTCCAAGATCATTAAGCCCCATCTCATTACGAATGGCGGAAACGTCATTCTGTTCCAGGTACGTGATCATACGCAAGGCGTTGTCGAGAGTGCATATGCTGAGCGGAAATTCAGATCGAGAACGAGCTCAGCGGACAGTGGAAGAACATTCCCAACAGAGTCTTGAACCCGCCCATCGCCAACTATATGCAGCTTCTCCAGGACAGCGCCCGGGAGAATGGAATCGACGTACCTCTCTCTCACAACGCTCCCAACATGGTAAGAGACTCTGTCGAAGGAACCGTGTCGTTTCCTTTTCTGACACAATCCAGGGCGGCTTTTCCTGGTCCAAAGACTTTTCCAATGCTACTGGAAATGTCGATGTCGTCGGTGTCGACAGCTACCCTTCGTGCTGGAGCTGCAACTTGAGCGAGTGCACTGGCACGAACGGAGCCTATATCCCTTACGTAAGTTACTCAGAGTTCACTGCCGCTGGAGTCATTGTCCTTTTGCTAATCGTGCCCACCCGCAGCTGACTCAAGATTATTACTCGTAAGGATGCCTTGTTGCTTGGATGCCTCCCTGTGCCACAACTGACAAAACTGCTTTAGCTACTTCACCATTCAGTCGCCGTAAGTATTTCAAATCCGATTCCGAGTAAGGCAGAAGTCTAATTAGGTATTTTGCAGTTCGCAACCCAATTTTCTCCCAGAGTTCCAGGGTGGTTCTTATAACCCCTGGGGTGGACCCGAGGGTGGCTGCCCCAGCGACATTGGCGCCGACTTTGCCAACATCTTCTATCGCGATCTCATTTACCAGAGAGTCACCGCCATCTCCCTTTATATGATGTTTGGCGGAACCAACTGGGGTTGGCTTGCTTGTCCCGTCGTTGGTAAGTCTACATAGTAGCCGGCCAGCCCACAATCTCCGTAAGATCGAGTCATGCTAATTCTACGGGGTAGCTTCGAGTTACGACTACTCCTCTCCGGTGTCTGAGAACAGAATCATTGGCAGCAAGTTCCACGAGACGAAGCTTCTGACGCTGTTCACTAGAGGTTCGTATGGCCATCGTCCAATCGGAGAAAAGATGGATTTTAACATTTTTGATAGTGGCCAAGGATTTGACAAAGACTGAGAGAGTTGGAAACGTTAGTGAAGAAAAGGTACTGGAAATTTGAGATGCTAACCTGTCCCAGGGTACCGGCTACACCACCAACTCGGCCATTACCGTGTCTGAGCTCCGAAATGTCGACAACAACGCAGCTTTCTACGTTGCCCGTCACGCCTACTCCCCTTCCAACACCAACGAGGCTTTCAAGCTCTCTGTGAACACCTCCCAGGGTGCCCGTAGGCCTTCCTTATACCTACCCTCAAATTCTGCTCATCGAATGCTGACTTGGTGCAAGTCACCATCCCTCAGCATGGCAGCTCGATCGCGCTCAACGGCCACCAAGCCAAGGTCCTCGTCACCGACTTCAGGTTTGGTAACAAGACGCTCCTCTACTCCACCGCCGAGGTTCTCACCTACACCATCATTGATGGCCAAGAAATCATTGCCCTTTGGCTTCCCGAGGGCGAGGCCGGCGAATTCACAGTCACTGGTGTCAACTCTGCCAAGTTGGTAGGAGAGGGCAACGTGGGCGACTTCAACGTTTACCCCGGCAAGAGCAACGTTACAATCGCATACACTCAGAAGAAGGGTATCACTCTCATCAATCTTGGAGATGGGTCCCGCGCTGTTCTTCTCGACCGCAGCGCCGCGTACCTCTTCTGGGTTCCGACGCTTGACAACGACCCCTTTGCGCCCGCCAACAAGACTGGTAAGCCTAGTTTGATTGACGCACCCAGTGCGACTTTACTGATGTTATGTGTCTAGTATTTGTTCAGGGACCTTACCTCGTTCGCCACGCTGCATTCAACGAGACGGGCCGCAGCCTGGCGCTCTTCGGAGATGCCGACCAGGAGACCATCATCACAGTCTTTGCCTCCGAGTCTACCTGTGGTATCACCTGGAACGGCAAGAAACTCGGGCTCCTTTCGAGAGAAGGCAACGTTTTCACCGCCAAGATCGAAGGCCCTACCAAGTTTGACGTCCCCGCGCTAGGTCCCTGGAAGGTTCACGACAGCTTGCCTGAAATTGCTACTGATTACGAGGCCACATCTGATAGTTGGGTTGGTAAGTGATAATTCCCTTTCTCATCTTAGAATGTAATCTGACAAAGACTTAGCGGCCACCAAAGCCAACACCTCAAACACCGTCAAGCCCGCTTCCAACAATCCCGTCCTCTACGTGGACGAGTACGACATCCACGTCGGAAACCACATTTACCGCGCAACCTTCTCGACCTCCGAGACCGCCCCGACTGGCGTCTTCCTCAACGTCACCGGCGGTCTGGCCTTTGGCTACTCCGTCTGGCTGAACTCGGCCTACGTCGGCTCGTACCTCGGTCTCTCCTACCTCGGAGCGGACGCTCGAGAATTCTCCTTTGAGAACGCCACCCTCGCCAAGACGGGAGACAACGTCCTGGTCGTCATCATGGACAATTCAGGCCACGACCTGCGCGAAGCCGCCCTCGCCCCCCGCGGCATCACCAACGCGACCCTCCTCGGCCCCGACGCCCAGAACTACAAGTTCTCCGAGTGGAAGATCGCCGGCACCGCCGGCCGCAACAACCTCATTGACCCCGTCCGAGGCCCCATCAACGAAGGCGGCCTGTACGCCGAGCGCGTCGGCGCCCACCTCCCCGGCTACCCCGACGCGGACTGGGCGTCCTTTGACTCCGCCAACGGGTCCCTTTCCGTCCCGGACGCCGGCATCCGCATCTTCCGCACCGTCGTCCCGCTCGACGTCCCCGCGGGTCTCGACGTCTCCATCTCCTTCCGCCTCACCGCCGCGCCTGACGACACGAACCGCCTCCGCGCCCTTCTCTTCGTGAACGGATACCAGTACGGCCGCTTCAACCCTTACATTGGCAACCAGGTTCAGTTCCCTGTCCCGACCGGTATTCTCAACTACAATGGGGACAACACCATTGCTGTCACGGTGTGGAGTCAGGCGGCGGAGGGTGTGGCGCTGAATGTCGAGTGGCAGGCGGATTACGTCCATACCTCGAGCTTCGATATGGGCTTCGACAGCAAGGCTTTGCGGCCTGACTGGGATGAGAGTCGTTTGAAGTTTGCTTAGATGTACTTGTATCTAGATCCATGTTGATGGACATAAGAACCAAATACTTTGAAATGCACATCACCAATAAGCCTGTATTGACGCACGTGTATGAATTTTAAGGGATGAGAACGTACTTCGGAAACGAATAAAAAACCTTGACGGCCTTGGCTCTCCCATTGGTAGCCCCTCAAGCTTTTCTCAAGAAGTCCAGATTCCCAGCACTAGCTGCTAAGATGCTTTTGATGCTACACCAATGGTACATCTTTGCCAAACTTCATCCTGCGCTGTGCCTCTAAGTCCAGGCGTCTGTCTACCCGTGGGACGCAAAGTCGAGTTGTCAACGTTTGTCGTTCTGATAAGTGTTGTTTCCCCGAACATGAGAAGTATCCCAATCGTTGCATTCTGTATACACGGCCCTTCAAGATTGGCTTTAATCCTTGCTCCATGACAAGCTTCTGTGTATTCTCCACATCCCACGAACCACGATGACGAAGGAGAATGTGCCCGAAGAGCTGCAGTCCCTCAGAAGAACCCCGGCAGACTGAATGGGGCATTTTGTCTGATCGTGTATCTTGATTTGCATCCTAATCAAAGCGTCGAGATGGCAATTGAAGGCTGGAGTCTGGCCGATGAGAAGGCTCGTACAGTCATCATGGTCAATTGGCATTTCGCGTCCAGAATGTCTCGTCAAGGCCACCCAGCAAAAACCAGAATCCGGTTGAGTTACTCTGGCGGTTAAAAACCAAGATTTTAAATGCAATCTTGATAGAGAAGGAGCATCTCAATAGTTTTGCTCCTCACTTTGCTGCTTCCTCTTCCACTTTCCTCCGGCTTCCTTCCTCTTGTCTCTTTACTCTTGCCTCCTACCACTTGCCTCCTTCCACTGAATTCCTTCCTATGTAGCAAGTAGCAGAAATCACTGAAGGCTCTATAAAGAGGACAATCTTTTGCCTCTTGGTACAGATATCTTCCCCAACAATCTACACTCTCATACTTTTGTTTCCCGAAATCTACACGGCCGTACCTCGTTCATCGATAGTACCAAATTTCCATTCATTCGCTCGAATTTCCCATGGAAGAGTTTCAATTAGCTCTTTCAATACTGGAACATGGAATCAGTTCCACAAAGAGAGGTTGTGGTGGCTCGATACGAGCGGATGGTCGAGAAAATTGCAGACAATGACTCCGCCAGTGTCAAGGCTTGGCTTACCAAGAACACGACAGACAATACTCCATGGGTTCTTCGGGCGCTACCTGAGTACGTCCAAGTGCTCAAGAATCAGTTCCCTGGGTTTTTGCACATCATCAAGCATTCTCGCAATAGCGGTGTCGTCAATGGCACTGCCTTGCTTTCAATCAATCACAAGGTACATACTGTGGATGCAGAGACGCGCCCGACGTACCTATACCGCACTATCCATGGCGATCACCCTTACAAAGGAATCAAAGCCAGACTAGGCCGAGGGACAGATCCAATCTTTTTGCACATTCACTTACGCAAACACCTCCGCTGGCGTTGTCGGGAACTGAGTCCCTTTCTGTCATCAACCGATAGCCTTGCAAAAGCAGTGCGCATCGCCAAGTTATATGAGGACCGAGGCTTCTCTGATATCACAATCTTGAAGTTCAAAACCATTGGCCCAGCATGGGATCACGACAAACAAAGACTATGGGATCCGAAATCGCTGCTTCGACAGCTCAACCTGCATGGAGACATTATGCATTACCTCGATAACGAGTTTCTCGTTGAGCATTCTATCCCGGAGTCGTGCATCGAGAAACGCTGGAAGTGGGGAAGAAGGAAAGCCGAATTCGACCCCGACGGCGATCTCGAGAGACGGGCTCGCGAGGATTTGGATGCGAAGAAGGCCATGGCGGATAAGGCGAAGAAGCGACGCGAAGCGGTGAAGAAGCAAGAGGAAAATGCAGCTGCGAGAAAGCGCAAGGCCTCTGATGAAGGCGGCGAAGACGGGAACTCCGGCGACGATGACCAGGATGGGTTGAAGCCTTGGCCAGAGAAAAGAAAGTACGGCAAGCGGGTCAAAGTTGGTGTTAAGCTGAGGCGCGACGGTGGTGATTGAGGTGGTTTATTTGCAGTTATCTGGTGCAGTGGAAGGAGATCATTGGATTTGAACTCGAAGCTGGGGTTTCGAGACACATGGACATTTGCGGCAAGCTTCACGGGCGATTTGCGCTTTATAGGGATCAGGTTATCGGTTATCAGGAGTACATCATCGCTTTCCTTCTTCATAGACACACGGCACGCATTTAAATTGATTCCAAACCTTTCACTGAATATTCCGATTCCCATCACGTCGATTCATTTAGGCTTCACTCATGTTCATCCTCTGCACTCGGTAAGCCGCCCGCATAGACTGACCTTGTCTAGGAAGCTACAATGCAAATCACATGGATCTGGTATTGATGACTCAAAAGGCAAGTGGCAATTCGTGTCTATGGAAGGGGCGATGGACAAGGTAGCTAGAGCAAGCTTTACGGGTAAAAATGCAGCACCTCCTCAAGAAGGCACCTCTGGCCGGAGGATGGGAAAGGGCAAAGAGAAAATGAGCTAGTAACCATCTTCTGCTTCATGATTCTGGTCACCATCATCTGTTAGTGCTATTCTTCTCCTCAACATACCTCTCTACCCGCATTGCCACTCACTTCATTGCCACATTCTGGGCCGTAATATCACCTATCAAGGACCCAACGAACCAACCATGTCCGACTCCGTCAAATTTGAGCCCTTTCTTCGCCTACCTGTAGAGCTCCGATATCTAATATGGAACGCGAGTCTCGAACCACAAGGCCGGCTCGTGGTCGTATCTCCCAAATGTGACTGGCTCGCTCGAAGATGCCGGCTGCCCGTCATGTCCGCCGTCCATTATGAAAGCCGCAAAGAGTTCCTTCGTCTCTACACTCGACTCATCGACGAAGTCCCGGACCAGCGCCTTCACACAGCCTTCCGAGATCGGAAAGTCGAAGATCACGTCTACCTCAATACTCGAATTGATACCCTCGTCCTCGGTACGGTAACTAACACTAGCGTTGTTGACCAGCATTTGCACCTATTCCGCCCTGTGCTGTCTCTGACCACGCCCGATTACACCGTTGGGGTCATGATCGATATGCCAACCCTGTCGCGCCGTGACAGAAACCGCCTTCGACGAGTACGCTTGCACGACACCAATTATTTACAGCAGGTCTTCAACCTCAGAATTAAGAGGAAGGCTGGCATCCATCACCGTGTCCCCGGCCGGGGCATCGCTCCCCTCCCCACTCTCCATTTCCCAAACCTCGAGGTCATCTACCTAGTCTCCCTACGGACTCTAATCACGATGCTGGACGGCGGACTCCATCTTCAGACGCCTGGTTTTGGAATGCATTTCCGATACGTGGTGCCGACCAACGAGCTTTACCGTAAGGTCCACGATATCAGACACCATGAGTATTTCGCTGGTGTACGGCCGAACTACAAGACCCCTCCAAATTGTGACGAGGCGTATGGTTCAAAGAGTAACGGTATGCGCATCGATATTATTCACTCCGGCAATCTCGATTGGGTTACTGGCGACTAGTTCCTCGTCAAGGAGTATGATTGGGCACATGCCGCTTGGGAGCTTGCGGTCGAATACATCACGATGCGGCTGGGTGCAAGAGAGGAGGAGCCGTTGGTCAAACATTCTCGGACGCTTTTGGGTCGTCATGGAAGCGAGACGCGATTGCATACAAGGGCCACGGAAGACCGGCGTTTAAGCGTATGATTCGTCATTTTGTTATTTGAAGCAGGTCAAAGTTCAGCGTCTTGAAAGAAATTCCCACACATTGTTTCCATCTTTCTTCCATGGTTATACTGGAGCTATTAGTGAACTCCCTCGCCTCGCACTGTTGACATTGTTCCCTTCAACCTCGGACACAAAATCTGCGATCGTCAACTTCTGTACATTCAGGTCCTACACTCGTTTAACTATACAAACCATTCACTCCTCTCCGAGTACTATAATAGCGCAAGTAATTATTTCAGTTCCCCTGAAATCCCTCCCCAATCTTTGTGCTCCAAGTTTAATCAGAGCCCTCATGCCCTCTTCTTCTAGTCTCATGTCCTCATGTGGCGCACGCGGACATACAGACCACTCGTTTGAATACTGTCCAGGGCGTCGTCAGGCTTTCCGTCCTCAGTCATATTAGGAAGGCGCGTGTTTACTCGGGCTTTTGATTCTGGTTCCGGCTTCTAAACAGTGGGTATGGCAAAGCCAAATCTGTCTACTATTCCCCATATCACGAGAAAAATAGAAGAGCGATGGGGAAAAGGCAAGCAGCATTGCTGGCAAGGAGAAAACCCGATTCAAAAGTCTCCTGAAAGAACTGCAACTAGAGAGGCTGAGAGTAGCAGCAGCCAATGATGAAAGCCACCGAGTCAGTGTCCTCCCCAGCCAGGACCTCGTACGACTTGCGCCTGCCCCTGCCGGCCCTCGCCTGAGTCAATCGGGACTGCCGAGAGGAGTACTTCCGCGTCTGCGTCGCGATGGCCGACGAGGACGAGGACGTGGTGGATCCCTGGCTGAGGCATTCTACAGTCAACTTCAACCCGGAACCTGGGTGCCTACACGAACCTGGATATGTAGAACGCCCAGGACCTCTGGTGCGCGAAGCTCATAATGCTGCCCCCGATGCCTCGACGCTCTCGCGAAAAGGTGCGAGAGGTTTGGATCTGCGAAAATGACTTGCCCGCGCAGCACCGTCTCTTTTTCGACAGGGATATGCGCAGTCTCGTTCAAGAAGGCTTCAAACCGCTTCCCCTTCGACAGGCTCATCTTCCCCAGCCTCGAGACCGTCTTCGAGGCGGTCTTCAATATCCACGAAAGGTTCCTGTCGTCCTTGAACAGAAATGAGTTGGTCGTGCGGTACCATGTCGACACAGAAATGGCGTACATCAACGTTGCCAATATTTTTAAGGCACTGCCTGACGCACCGCTGAACCACAGTGACAGTCGAAGCGTTGCCTGATGACAAGTACACGTTTGGGGATTGTCTTCAGTTTCGATGGATTTGGGAAATTGTTGTTTCTATTGTGAGGGACCGTTTGCGGTGTAGCTCTAGAGGCCCACAAGATTGAGCCGCCAGTTGAGAATCCAAATGGGTCGGATTGACCCTAAGTTCTTCAGATTAAGAGGACTGATTATGGGAGTAACATGAGGGTAGAGAAGACAGTGTTCTTGAGTCGAGGAGATTGAAATGGCAGTATAGTATGGTGTTGACTTGAGTCCCAGCAACACAAATCCAGATGGCACGGCATGGAGTCACAGGGAGAAGAGATAGGCCTAAACTGTATCAACAGTGAACTCAGCAGGGAGATCTTCACAAAGGATGCAAAATGCCAGAAATGATCAAAGAATTTGAGGGCTCCTTGGCATGTTTGCATTCTCCTTGTCCGTACCTAGCTCATTAACATGGTTTTCTCGTCCTAAGTTTGCCTTTCTGATGTTCTATGTTTAGTTCACAGGAATCTGGCAGGAATTTGAAGGAGCTATGGCTGGAATGAATGCGTGTATTAGGGCTGATAACTTCACTTCAGGATGTAACCTGGGCTGAAGCTAGTCTCCGATGAAGCCCATCGTCCGAAAAGGGGGCGAGATTAAGTAGAGGATAGGTAAGTGTAGACGAGAGGAATATCTCACTCGTCTGAACACCTGAACGTCTGAATGTATGAACCGTCTGAACGTCAGACGAGGGTTGAGTCCACCGGCTCACCCCATCAGCGAGCAGCCTTCAGATCACGCTCAAAAGCAGATGATAACAAAGCCGTCTGTTCAAACACACGATGAGAGCATTTCCCGACGAAAGCGCTTTTCTCAACACCAGACGGAGGCACTCACGACTAAGCAAGCCCTTCAATCATGTGACATACTTCTGAGTGTCTATTTAAATCTGCCAAATTTCCCTTCTTCCAAAAATCTCTCCCTTTAGACCTCTCAGGAATCTGAAGAAGCTTCGTCATCAATCCATACTTTACAACAAACAATAGCTCATCAGACCTCCCTCTCGTCTCAAGATCAGACTACCAACCCCTCAGACAGCATCATCTCGACCATGTCCTCTTCCTCGGCTGACACCTCGTCCAACGTCGCCACCAGCGGTCCCCGCTTCCGCGACCTTCCGCTCGGAGTCCGAATGGCCATCTAGAAGATGACAGGCGAGAACTCTGGCCGGCTCGTTGGTATCGGACCAAACAGCGACGCAAACGCTCGTCGCCCCGGCTTCCCTGAATTCGCCCTCGTCAACAGGGAGAGCTTCCACGCCTTTCTCCAGGCGTACATCCGCATTGACAAGAACCCCCTCGACCCCATTGTCTACCATCCTTCTCTTTATTCCTCGTCCAATGAATCCAACAAGCTCTACTCCAACGCCGCGGCCCTTCTTCCCAACGTCGACTGCATCTATCTCAACCCCCGCACTGACGAGATCTCCCTGGGCTATAAGACCGAGCTCCCCGACCCCAACTGGGTGCCCGGATTCATTCAAGCAGACCTCGGTACCGCCATCAACATCCAGATCAAAATGGCCCGCATCGTGACTGAAGATTTCGAGGACAACTGCCGCTACGACTACCCCGGCCAGCTCTTCGAGTCCCTCGACAACGAGCCCGTCGCCAGCATCGACATGGACGCCTGCAAGTACCGCAACGCCGACCAGGTCACCGTCATCGTCCCCGGCTTCGACAAGGACGTCTGGGGTTCCCTCTCCGGTGCCGTCTCCTTCGTCGCCCACTACAACGTCGACACCAAGCGCGTCTTCGTCGACGATGACTACGATGGCGCCGACGACAAGGCCCTCGAGACCTTCCGTCTCGAGGTCCCTCACAAGTCGGACGGAACCAGCGAAGCGTCGGACGAGACCAACGGAGAGTCGGACGAGACCACGCTGCTCGCGGTTCGGATCGTCTTCCACCGCGGCTCGGATGAGAACTACCACGGTCACGAGCTCAAGCCCATCGTGGCTGCCGACCTCGCCGACCTGGGTGACATGAGTTACCCAGGTCGTATGGAGAGAGTGTACTGGGAGATTGCCGCCCAGGCCGTCAACCACCGCCTTTTCTGAGAGCTGAATCGCAGCGCCCTAGGGGCCTTCCAGTCCTGATCTCGGCCTATTCCCTTCCTATATCACCAACGACGACGATGTCTGCCAAGGGTGAGGCTGGCTGGAAGGGTTTTCGTACGATACTGTTGTTGGGAGATGATGGGACAGGGGAGGGTAGGGGAGGGGAGGGAATTGTGGGCTCTCGGAGCCAGAGCCTGGCCGGTGAGGGCTGGGTGCGTGGCATTGGGGGTTTGCTTTTATAGTGAACGATTGAATGTCGCCAAGATGAAAGCACATGCTTCCGATTGTGACCATACCCCAGTAATCATTTCGCTGTGTGCTATTCATTCCCTTGAGCTTTGAAGGAAACAGCACCCTTCTGGTCAAATATCAAAAATAATCAGAGTCATTGAGCTTTGTAACTTCAGCTCAGTCCATGCTTGTCTTCCTCCAAGCGCATGTATCTGGAAGCAGCTCATATCTGGTGTGTCAGCTGATCCGAGGTATCGAGTGTCGTCGTTCTCCGCGCTAGCAGGAACTCAGTCTGCCCCAAGATCATCGTGAAGAGGACGGGAGAGGAAAACAGAGAAAAGGGACAAGTTAAAAAAGGGTCCCAGCGCCAATGGTTCCCTCCTTCCGCCATATAGTAAGTACACAATGCCTGCCTTACCTTACCTAGCGTACTATCTGTCTAAAGACCCAAACGTAAAAAAAAGAAAACGAAAGGTCAACTCTAGGGAATCGAACAAAAGGTCAAGCGCCAGGTTGACAGTGGCTCGAGGATTATCAGGTTAGTCTATGACCGCTCCCGCAAACCACCCGGCCACCTTCCCCTGATCGCTTGGTGACAGGAATGAAGGAAGAGAGGCCTAAGGACCTTCCTTCCATTCCCGAGGTCCTCGAAGTACGTACCAGTAATAGCTGCCCGGATATTGATCATGCACTTTCTCGTCCCCAAAGACCTTCCAATATTCACACAACACCTGCCTCGTTATTCCTCAGAATCATGTGCTCTGCCCATCTCTAAAATCTACCAGCAGTGTGAAAAGACGGGGTCCCCCCGCACCAGAATAGGTAAGTAGGTTTTCGGCGAAGGCGGAAAACTCCACAATTCCGCCAGACCGGGCCCAGGCTCGGGCGGCAGCAGCCCGTGACCGACCGGACATCCACTTACTTTAGCGGAGCAAAACTGGCCCACCATCGCCGCTCCGCTGACAAAATGTACCGATGGAAAGCGCCTCGCGGCCGTCGAGGTATGGAGTGAACGGGTTCTTCTTATACAGCCCATGGCCGATGATTTCTCTGCAAATGTCAGCAAACTCCATACCGAGTCCATGACAAGCGTCAACACCGTACGCAGATCGCTGATTTATACATTCGAAACATGCCATGACGATGTCACCGCGACAGAAGTGCAGGACCGTCTTTCGAAATAAAGTCCCAGCATCATCGACTTACCAAACACGCATAAACAGCGAATCATGTAAATCTCCTGGGCGAAAGCCTTCCAGCCTCCAACTCCAACGACAGTCAATGTCGCAATCGCGGGCGGCACCGGCGCCATAGGCGGCACCCTCATCGAGGTGATGTCTACCCATTCAAAACACCAAGTCATCATCCTCTCTCGCCAGGCACTCAGCCAAAACGAAGCCACCGAAGCCGCCTTGACGCCAATCTTCCAGGTAGAGACTACGCCTCCGTCGAAGCCCTTAAGACCCTTTCTCGAAGAATAAACCATCCACACCGTCATCACAGCCTTCGGCATCACCGTCACCCCCCTAGCAACGTCGCAGCTAACCACCATCAAGACAGCCGACCTCTTGTCCGCGGCGAAGCGATTCATCCCGAGCTTATTTGCGATGGGGTATCCCGAGGAGTACGCTCTTTCTTCCACCAAATAAAAAAAACACACTCGTCAGACAATCGTAAGACCATACATCAAAATGGACAACACACATCCCAGCCGCGTCGCCCCCCTCCCGCCTCCGGAACACGACTTCACCTCCCTCGAATTCCTTTCCGAAACCTCTTCAGAATATGGGCCGCGGTCTCCACAACGGCACCGTCACCTTTCACGAGTATTTCGCGCCCGCTGCCCTAACAACCAACCACCAGCACAGCATAACCCTCCTTGATACCCCCCACAATGCCGCCACGATCCCGGGCGACGGTAACACCCCCGTGACATTCATATACACCTTTGACGTGGCGTGCTACATCGTCACTGCCCTGGATATACCCGCTGCTTGGACCGCAGACCACGAGCTTCGCATCGTCTGCGACGGGTTCACCATTTGCCCAACTCGTCGCGCTCGCGGAAGAGGTCAAAGGCGTCAAGTGTGATGTGACGTATGATGATGTAGACAAGTTGCAGAGGTCTCGAGGTTTCCGAGTTTGCCCGGGCACGTGGCGTCGTACGACAAGTTTCCAAAGCAGAGGATCTTGGAGCTGTGGATGGCGACTGGGTTAGGCAAGGTCGAGGGCGGGACAGGGTCGTCGAATGAGTTGTTCCCGGAGATGAAGCCGTTGACTGCGAGCGAGATGTTGGAGAGGTACGTCACTGGAAGGGCGTAGGTAGGGTGTGTCTTTCGGGCGCGCACGTGGAAAAGTTAAATTCAAGGTTGGGATGATATCATGGAATTCCCTGAAACCAAAGAATAAGCAAGTAGACAAAAATTAAAAACAAGTTAGGAAAGATTGGCATCCTCATCTACACGCGAGTACATGATGAAATCCAAAAATGAATTTGTTGCGACCTACGTAGGGATCGAACCTACAATCTTCACAGTATGACTAGGGAAGCCGAAATGTGACGCGATGCCATTTCGCCAGCAGGCCAGCTCGGTTTGATGACAAAGAACAATCACGAACAGCTCATGTACCTAGATGCTGCGGGGTCTCTGCATTCCAGACTCACCGTCCCACTTCACGATGTGGGGTCCGGTCTTTGGACAAACAATGCAGCCAACAACCAAAGACAAACAAGAACCTTGTACATCTTGCTTTGTTTATATTTGTATAGGCATTAAATTAAATCCCCGAAATCTCGGGTATTTATCTAATCTAACTCAATGGGTATCGCACGCAGGAGGCCCGCGCATCCGGGGTCGGCATCCATCCCATTGCATCGCATCGCTACTTCACCTCCACCACAACAGCAGAGTCAGCCGACCCTGCGTCCGTCTGGACGTCCGCCTCAATCCTGGCAGCCTCCTCGGGATCCCACACCGCTTCAATGATGCTCATCCTGCAGCCACTGGGCCTCATCACGCCCTTGAACACGAATCGCTCATCCGCCGCCCTGAAGAGCTCCCGGTACTCATCCTCGTTGCGCTCCTGCGCGTTGAGCACCGCTAGCATGACCATGTCCATGCTGCGGATGATGCGCTCGTCCCAGGGCGTCTCTTGTCCCGCCTCGCGCAAGCATTGGTCCTTGATGACTACTTTGGCGCCTGGCTTCAGTGCTGGGACGAGGTTCTTGAGGATGGAAATGGCGTAGGGCGTTGAGTAGTTGTGCATGATCCAGCGGAAGAAGTAGACTGTTTGGCGATTCAGTTAGTTTTGGCCTCCCCACAAGAAGGTGCCCAAGATACGGAAACCAACAGGGTGAAGAACTCACCATCGGCATCCTTGATAGTCTGCTCTTTGAAAAAGTCGTGCGCCATAAGCTGGACGCGCTCTGCAACTTGAGCGTCGTCGCACAACGGGCTTGGCGCCGAATCCACCGTCTTGGGAAGATCCTGCACCACAAACTTCATATTCTTCCACTTCTTTGCCAGGTCAATCGACACGAACCCATGACTGCCGCCAATATCGACCATTGTCCCTCCCCTGGCGTTGATTTCACCGAAATCGTACGAGTCGACGAGATGCTTGATCTCGTAACCCTCTCCACCCGTCAAGCTGAGCATGGCACCGCCGAATCGCTTGGCGCGAAGAGGATCCTTGCCAAATGTGGCAAACATTGGTTCTTTGTCTACCGTGTCGAATGCAAAGTTGAAGCCGGTCTGCGTGAGGGACGTGGCTTCTGGATACGCCTTGAGGGCCTGCAAAACGTGCGCAGAGGCTGGAAAGTTGTCCTCGAGGTTGTAGCCTACCCAATCCTGAAGCGCTTGGTCTTCGGCCAGGAGACGAGATGCCGCCGTGTGAGCAATCACACCATGGGATGGTTCGCGGAAGATACGATTTGTCATGACGTGACGCAGTACGCGGGCAAGGTTAACGGGATCCAGGGAAGTCTTGGTCTGGAGTTCAGCAAGTGTGATGGTGCCGTTTATAGGTACAAGTTTTGCTGTAAAATATTAGTCGTTGGTGTGATGGCGATGCATTGCGGCTCTGCATTTCTGGGCTTACCAATGCCAAAATGGTTGACAAGCTGAAGACTCAGACTGTCTTGATACTGCCGACTAATCAGCTTGTGACTTTTAGCATTCTCCCAGCGTCTTTACTCACACTCCACGTCTTCCACCGGACGTCCTCTCTCGGGCCGTGGGCCAATGCTTCAAGCTCTCTCGTAGCAAAGATAATCTCCATGCGGCTCTTTTGGATGTCTTCGGGGAGCTTTGGAAAATCGCCCGGGCCATTGGGATCCAAGCTGGGCATTGGCAAATTGTTTTCTTGCATATACCTCTCCAACTTTTCCGTCTCGGATGCAATCTTCTTTGCAAGCTCTGTTAGCCTCGACGGCGAATAAGCAGGCTTCTCTGAGGCGACAGGCGCGGGCTTGGGATTCGGCACTCCATTGGGGACATCGTCCTTGGATTTGGCGGCAGAACGAGTAATGAATGGGGTGAATGATCGGCGATTTTGCTTCTTCTGCTCAACCTCTGCGGCATCGGGTGACGAGCTGGCGCCCAGCCAGCTGCTGAACCTGAATTTGTTCATCTTTACGATAACAATCAGAGAAGGATGCCAGTGGCCTGCGGGTGTCGGGAGAAGTCTGTTCTTTTCTAGTTAGCATGGGTGATAGAAATGGCATGCACCAGGAAAGGGGCGGTTCGGCGGCTCGAGATACAGGAGCACTAGCATCGTTGATCGCAGACTCCGCCTTCATTAGCCACCTGTGCTCGAGCTTGAAATTGAGCTACCTTGTATTGGGCTAGGCAGGTACATGGCAAGGCAACCTAAGGTGTGCGCCTGCCCGATGATGAAGTTGCGGGGCAAGAGGACGCGAGGTAGGAAGGAACCATTCGAGGGCTACATCGTGGATGCATTTTGGTACGAAGGAAAAAAGACGTCGAGATGGCATCTGTACACACCTTCAAATGCCCCGTATCTACACAACGCCGATTCCCACGATCCTTCAGAACGGGTTGGGCGACAGATTCGTGAAGAGGTGACAGACAGGGTTGCGGCAACGCTCGGAACGATTGTGACACAGAGGGACCCGAGGACACGGACTCGGTCTCGACTGACACAAATCAGGGCTGCCTGGCATGCAAAAGAAACGGTAACGGTTTTATACCGAGGTCGCCAATTGCCGTGACGTATGGGAAATTGAGATTTAGGCACTTTGTCTGGTAAACAAGTTTGCAATGAGTTTGCGAGGACTTTGTGAGCGCCGAGAAGGTTGGGAGGGGGGAACAATCGAAAACTCTCATCAAATCACCAGAGGGGCACAAAGAGACGGCAAAGAGGGATGCATCCCAGTTTAATAAGACGGCCTTGGGACTTGGGAGGGGACCCAGAGTGCGAGATTGCCAAAGCTAGACACAACGAAACAGCGAAGAGCGAACAGGATGGATGGAACTCTTGGTTCACCGAGCGTGGGCCTGGACGGAACGGGAACTGGGATGGGCGCTGAATCGCTCAGTGTGCTGCGACAGACACCTCATAGGCTAGCGCTAGTCCATGCTCTGGATCCGACGCCATGGGCTGGGATTGCCGTCTGCGTTGCCTGACTTTTGCGTCCATATCTGCTTGTCCTCTGGCGTTTTAAGCTTAGGAGTGGCTGGCGGCTAGAAGAGTCCGTTCGGACGAAGGCTATGCGCCGGCTTGGAGCCATCGACGATCGCTCAGGGTCCTAAGCTCCCGAGCTCTCCAAGCACAAGCGCTTTAGCTGTCACGGTTGTTAAGCTCCCGTGGCGAAGCAATTATGAAATGGCATTGTCGACAATTATCGTTCATGCTGAGCTACTAATCGAACGTCAACCGAGACCGAGGCAGTATGAGTGAGGACTGAGGAGTGGGATCAGCGGGACGGACAGGGGCAGGCCGGCCGGGAGTCGAACGGGTACATTGGAACAAAATGGGACCGGGCAGACAGAAAGGGTGGTCGAGTCGTTCGGGCTGGTGGCAGCGTCGTATCAATTCGTTGGCGAATCCCACCCGCGGTTGACCGGGAATTCTGCAGTGCCGCTGGTTTGGGAACCTGTTCGTCAACTAGCCGGTGTGCGTTCGGAACGGACGTGACAGGAAGCAACGAAAGACTGGTCGCATTTCTCGCATAAAGGCACTGTACTTGCCGTGGTCAGATGTCAACTTCTGGCTGATCGATGCCAGGTAACGGCCGGCCTGGGAGGTTTCCTGGATAGGAAAGGGAGTAAAAGGGATCCACCCGAGCCCCGTGGCAGGTGGCAGATGGCAGGTTGACACCTCGGTCGAGTCGGAGATGGGGAAGGTGCAGGCGAGTGCAGTCAGTGTGGGTGCACCATAACGGGCTGTCCCTTCCCTTCCCCCCACCTCGTTACCACACGACGGGCACGCTCCCACGGCCCCCAAGACACCGGTGACTGGGCAGGCTGCAGGCCGCAGGCGTGAGAGGCACTTGCCCATTGGGCTTGATAGTGTTGGGAAGGCGCGGCACAGCAACATCATGACCCAGTCCTTCCTTCGCAATCTGGAAGGACCAACCATTGACCAATAGACTGACTCGGCAACGTGGAGTCCCAACCTGCAACTGCCCTGCCTAGGTGAGGTGCACCGGGAATTAAGTGGGATTCTTGCCCGGTCTCTGGGCTCTTTTTTCTCGGAAGGAATGAACCTAAGACTGAATTGATCCGGGCTTGGAAAATTGGTGTCCCAAATCCCTGGTCTTCCTGTTCCAATGCAACAGCAACGTGCTCCGTCAGCCAATGCCGCCGGGCTTCCATCCTCCCCTCTCCTCATCCCAAGCCATGGCTTGCACCACACTACTTGGTTCTATTCCTCTTCCATCCGACACCGCAGGAGTTCGTTGTCTAGCGCTCGCACATGTCACCCCATCACGAAAACTATGCTCCTCTCGCAATCTCGCCTCTTGTCGCCAAGACCCGACCACGATGCGGCCACCCATGTTCATGTTCCAGGCGAGCATCCATCTCGTCACATCCCCCGCCAAGCAGAAACCATACGTCCGTAATACCTGGCCTACCCATCACCATGGTTGCCAGAGTCGCCAAAGTCGCACAAATCCACTCCGCTTGCAGAAGTTCAGAATAGACAGTCGCTCAATACTGAACACTAATGGCTCTCCACAGAGCCTATCTCGAGCCAGAAGCCCGCGTTTGGCCTGAAGGCTAAGCTCTCCCTCACTCTCCCTCACTCTACGATGACCTACCGAGGAAAATCCCCATACGCCGGCTTCTGCGCGTACATGATTCTCAAGGGCATGTACATCAATGCCGCATTATCGTGATACGCCCGCCGCACGCTGACGAGGAACATTTCAATCTGCTCTGGTGTCCACAGCAGCCCTCTGGTCAGCGGTCCGAGAGCGATGGCCTGGAGTCCGTCGAGAAGAATCGTCCTCCAGTACATCCCTACTGTCTTGAGCACCCTGTTCCGCGGCCACGTTCCCAGCGGTACGTGGAAAATCTTCTCCGTCACGTTGACGAACCCGGCTTCGCGCATCATGTTGGGCAGTCGATCGCCTGCCGCAGCATTGAAGTCGATGCCGAGGCTCGTCAGTCCTTGCGTCACGAAACTCCAATACTGAGCCACCGGGTGTGAAGGCGGCATCGCGTTGTACGCCGATGACGGGAAGTGATGAATCTCTTGCAGTTCGATCCACCCGCCAGGCTTCAGATGCCTACCATCACGTTAGACCTGCCATGGACAAGTCGGGGGCTCACGACTTACTCGTATGCCTTGTGGAATAGACTCCTCCAATTTTTGATGGCCATGACGGTGTGTCGAGAATGGATATAATCAAAGTGGTTCCTCGGATACAACCACGAACTTTCCACATCGTCAACTTCGAATTTGACGTTTGGCGGCACCCAGTCCGGTTGGATGGGGCTGAGATCGACTCCTAATACTGTTGCACTTTCAAACTGGTCGCCCACTACATTGCCATTAGTATTTCGAATCCTGCGAGAATGGCTTCTCCCAGCTTACTCTCAATGGCCCATGCGCCTGTCCCTGTTCCGATGTCCAGGATTTGCTGCGGCCATTCGCCGATGGGCGCAAAGTGTAGCTTTTGATTGCACAGAAGCTTCACCATGGCATGCTTCATATCCTCCCGCTCCTGCTCCACCTCGTCGTTGGGAAAGTTGTATAGCCCTTCTCGGAAGCGGTGATAGCGTCGCCCATTCTCGTACATGTAATCTCTAACTGATGATGTGACGGATGTGCTGGCGTTTGTGGCGCTGTCGCTTCCGTATCCCCCATCCGACTCTGCGCCGTCAAAAATCGAGGCCATGTCGTCGCTATCTGCGACGATGGAGCTTTCGGCTTGCGTTGTGGCTTCCGACGATTCTGTGACTTCCTGCTCGGCCGACAGATCTGGGAAAATCGGGACGCCATTGGGATGCGTCAAAGGCGACCTCAGCCCAGGGAATCCATCGCGAGCCAGGTGTTGATTCGCCTCGTAAGCGTTGCGGTTGGCAGATTCAAAGCCGGATGCTGCTTCAGTCCTTTCCACCCCTCCGCCCGTGTCTGGCTTGGCCGCCGCGGGGTCATGAGGTAGCCGGTCGAGCCTGGGCAGCTTCTCCTTCTTTGCTGGTGCCGATTCTGTTGCGTCCGTCATTGAGTCGATCAATCGTTGAGGAGTTGGATGTGCAACGGCGATTTCTGACGTGTTTTCCGCAAGTTGAGAGGAGAGCTGGAAGTTTCGTTCCTCGTGTAGCGGGAGGATCAGTAGGCTGTCGGGCGCCACATATTGCTTTTTTGAGTTCCATGCCTGACCAGGGATGCCATCATCCTCTCGCGTCGCAAAGGCAGCTGGCAGCTCGTGTCTGCTCGCAGAAAGTGTCTCAGATCCGACGCCCATATGAACATGAGCCTCGAGTTCTTTGTCTTGGAACCCTTCTTGGGTCGGTGTTCTAGCTGTTCCACCAGATGCCAACAGCCCCTCGCATGTCTGCTCATTCGCTGTCGAAAGTCCCGTCATTGCAGTCATTGTAAAATGTACGCAGTCAGATATGGCGACTGGTTTTCGTTCATGCGTAGACACGCTTCTGGCTCGGTCTTTTCTGTTCGGTACTTGGTCGAAGGCTGTCGGACTCTATTGCTATCGCCTCGAAGCTGCCTCGGACAAGCACTCAACACCAGAGGCTGTAGATGACCCTAGGAGATGGACGGATCTTTAAGAGCGTGGTTTCGGCCTGAACTTGGATCATGCGACGAACAGGGAGGCAACTTGTGGTTGCAGTTGAACGAAGCAGAGGTCATTTACCATCAGCCAACGCTCGGCCGTGGCGCACAAACAGGAGCTTTGGCGAAACTCCAAAGTTCAGCACGTCGGAGCTTTATCTGACGGAATGACGGAGAGGACAGCTCAGGCCACCCATGCGTCAACCACTTGACTTTCCGGATACATCAAGAAGTGAGAACTGTTCTAAACGTGACCCGTAGATAGCCGTTGGTATGGCCTGCTCTTTGTGGCTTACCCCCAACACCGTTCTCAACCCAGGCTTTTTTTTTCCTTCTTCTTTCCGCTCCCCCACAGTGGATACGGAAAGGTTCAACCCCTCGCCAAGATGACAAGCAATCCGTGGTCTTCCCTGGAGCTGCAACTACACGGCGTCCGTAGATCGTTCAGCTCCAGTAACCTGGTCAGTGCGAAATCTCTACGCCGCAACAACCAACAAGGTTGCCTGTCCCGCCCGCGGCCCATTCCAGATCGCACACAGCTGCTGCAGGGGCCTAGACTGGCTCTCGAGCCCCCCCCCCCCCTGGTTGACTTGCGAACGGAGCATGGGCGGGGTGGGGAAGGTTGCATCGATGCAGGTTTGCGAAGCGACAATGGCTATTCTTCTCTCGTGCTCGACCTGTATGTTGGATCATGAGCAAACAAGTCCTCGCTCGCATCCGCATCTGTTTCGCTTACTTTCACCTGCGCCCATCGATTGACAGCCAATGGTTTTCTTCACTATATTTCGATCAACGCCGTTCGCTTACGGATTTCCGCAAGGTAAACCCATTAGACGGGATACACTACTTTGAACTACTCCGTTCTAGGAACTTGCTTTGCGACATGACAGGGTAGATTATCACTGGAATCTCTCGTGGGCTGAGTGTGCCTTCGCGTACAATTCGTCTGCGCCATGATTGGTGCTTGGCCAACGCAGCAATCCAACAGCCTCACCTCATCTGCGTTGGTCGTCTTCTCGAGCCCTCAACTTGAACTATCTTTCGCCAACCTCGAAACATCACCGAATTCTCTTAACTGGAGGATCTCCGCGACAGTCATGTCAGGAAGCGGCGCCATCTTCATCCTCCTGGATGAGAGAAGTCTCTGCTCAGGCTGCGCATCGTAATCGATTTTGATGTCATCGTCAATGATGCTCAACAAGTGGAGGGCAAATCGGTAGCTGAGATCGACAAGAGCTATGTCAATCTCCCTATCTGGTCCAGATTTTCCATTTGCGCTGCTCCATCTTGATGGTGACTGCGTGGTAGACGTCCGCAGCTCAAGATGTGTAGATCATATGAATTATAGCGTAAAGGAAGTATGGGAAACGATGATCCAATGGCCTCAAGAGCTGGGATCTATGCCAGCCAAGCGAAAGTAGCACCTTTGAATTAATCCAAACCAGCCATTCAGGGCTGAACTCTCAGCAGACTTTTTTCCATCAAATCTGCCGTAGCGCGAAAAGCTTGCACGCGTAACCCAAAGCTGAAGGGTAATCAAGACTGGAAGGATTTTTTCCAAGGAAATGTCCCCGGTTAGAATTTCATAACCTGCTCCACGGACGAAATTGTCAACCTAAAGGATTGCGTTGTGTCAGCGGGGTCTTTCGATACAGTCGAGTACGCTGCTCTCAGTTATGTCTGAGGTTCTGAACAGGGCGACGGTCTAGGGCCCAACGGCGAACTACCCACATCCACTGCCCCGAGTGGTCGAGGACGCGAAGACGGTAACGATTTCGCTGGGCTTCCAGTATCTTTGGTTCGATCGCTATTGCATCTCTCAGCTCCGTGCAAAGGACGCACACGACTAGATTCGGAATATCAATGTTATCTATGCCCGGTTGTTCGTCACGATCATTGCTGCAGCAGGCCCAGGACCGGACCACGGCTTACTTGGTGTTGGAAAGACAGCGCGCAAAGTCTTTGACACTTTCCGCATCGGATCCCATAACATCAGATGGATGCCCGTCAATGAGGTATGGGTTAAGCAGCAGAGCCAGCACTCCAAGTGGAACTTGAGGGCTTGGACCTGTCAAGAGGCAGCCTTATCAATGAGGAGATCCCACTTTACCGGCCACTTTGCCCTTTTGGAGACTGGCAACGGAGGAGAAAGCTACATCAAAGGCCTTCCAGATCCAGTATGCCCAACGAACGGGTCTATATGGGATGGCTTACTACTATATAGGTCATATGCGATCCCATATGCGGCAATTTATGCAAAACGAGAGCTTGCTTTCGAGGCGGACGCCTTTAGCGCATAACAAGGAAGTCAAGCGCATTATAACCAAGACCAATGGGGAGACTCTTTTCAGTTTTCCGTCATATTTTTTTGGCTTGGAGGTTGGAACTAACTGCGAGCTTCCGTTCGCTCTGCTCTGAGAGACCACGGAAACATTTAGTCGGCTCCAAAGACGCGCTGGGTTCAGCGTTGGACGTGGTTTGGATGATACATACCGCCCGAGTCTACGCTGGAAGATGGTCAGACATGGTGTCCACCAGCGAGCTCTCGGATGTTGCTTGTACCCTCTGCACACGTCTAGCTTCTGTATGAGGATAAATTCACTTTTGCATGGGCATCCCATGACGAAGGCACGAATCCATAGGTTGATGAAGGGGCGTGATGAAGATAACATACAGTTCATGCTCGGGACGGGATGGACTTTGGGACGCAGAGACTTGTGGTCCATGTCTGCGATCAAATCGTAGTGTGTGGTTGTTTCTGGGGAGTGGTTTGAATCCCAAGTTTTTCTAGCATCGCGAATGTTTCAATACATGGTAATTTCTCGCTGGCAATGAAGGCATCTTGAGCCTGACTCTCTATTAGTATCTCCAAGCTCTCAAAGACGAGCAAACCCTCACTACGCCCCCCTCCTCGTAGTGTGATGAGAATAAGGTCAAGAAATGAAGGAATGGATATGCGATGCGCTGATCGATAAAACTTTACCGCTTCATTTGAGTGTTTTGTCTCAAAAGACTGATTGATGTTTCCCTCCTTCAATTCGGTGAAATTGATCAGAGTGGACCAATTCCTCACGATCTACAAACGTTGTGTCGGACTTCCAGTAAGACTCATGTTCAAAGTTCACAGCTTTTCAGGTACCTCCCATCAAGGTTGAATCATTCCAATTCCAGTCCACCACAATGCCTCGCGACTGTGGCATTGGTTTCTGAGATAGAGAGCGTCAGTCAGTCATTGCCCCATTTGGTGCAAATACAACTGGATCCCAAGACCACGGAATGCATCAATTCCCAGCGCGAGAAGACACCATTCAAACATACGTCAACGGTCGTTCCACTGCGGAACCCTTCCCAGCTTCCAATCATTTGCTGGAATGGACGACGACATTGACTGGCGCGTGAACGCAGACGAGGTGAATGAGAGTGAAAAATCTCTCTTCGCATGCTTTGAGAATCTGGCCACTTCGCTTCAGACCTGGGTTGAAGAAGTTGCCGTTCCATGCCTCGATGATCTAGCTATTTTTCAGTTGACACGAATATTGCTCCGCCATGTAGAGACCTGGCTCATGAGCGATGTCTTTGTCAAAACGGCCATTTTGGTATGGGTTGGAAACCACACCTGGGTACACCACCCCTGGACGTTTGGCGTCTTCTCGGTATTCCACTACGCAGGCAGCATTGTCATTCAGAAACTCTGGATCGCCTGCTTACGGTCACTCTATGCTATTTGAATCGACGGGACGCTCCTATGGCTACTCCTCTCATTTCATTTTTTTGTCCCGACGAGGCGACGGCTTCCGCGGGACGCTTGGCTAGGCACCTGGGAGTAACTCTGCATTATCATCAACATGATGGTCGACTACACCCACTGGACGAAGAAATGGTACGACTTTGCAGAGCACTCTCCGGCTTCCGCATAGAAGTTCACCGAGCCTTCTTCACATCGCGCGCCTGGAGCATCACGAGAATGCCAACTGTTTGTACTTCACTCCCAATCTTTGTATGATACTCTTGCCGAATCTGGCTAATCCCCCACCCCCCGCCCGCCCGGCGACCGGTGCCGAAGTCGTGACCCACATCGGCGGGTGACTCACCCACATGTCCCCGACCGCAACTCCCGCCCAAACTCCTCACAATCGGCCCCAAGTCGCGTGGCACTTCGCCCCGGGTCTGACATTCCAACCGCTAGGCACCCGCATCACCCCAACAGGCACCCCAAATATTTCGAGACGCCATCCAGGCACCCGCTCTCTACAAAGGCATCATCGAAACATCAAATTCCATCTCGTGTCCACCATCTCCTGTCTACCCTCTCCAATCCAAAAAAACCAACTCCAAAGGTTCACCACCACCTTCATAATCCAAAAATGCCTCCCTCGGCACCAACTCCCCCTCTCACCTATACAACATCCCCCTCACTCCTCCCTTACATCCTCCGCTTCCACCCATACATCCCACCATCCTCCCCCTCCCCATCCACCCCGGAAGTCCACCACACTCACCGCCTCTGCGTCGGCGCCGCAGTCCTCTCCACCCCCTCCCCGTCCTCCCCCCGCAAAATCCTCCTCCTCCAACGCTCCGCCAAGGAAAAAGCCCTCCCCCACAGATGGGAACTCCCCGGCGGCGCAGCAGAATCCCTCGACCAAACCTCCCTCGCCGCCGCCGCCCGCGAGCTGTGGGAGGAGACGGGCCTGCGCGCCGCGCGGTTCGTGCACCTGGTGGGGTGTTACCAGTGGGAGGGTCTCGGGGGCGGGGAAGCGGCTGCGGCGGTCCCCGGTGACCAGGCTTGGGGGCTGTCGAGGGGCGGGGTCGGGATTATTGATGTTGGGAGCCGTGGCGGCGACGGGGGGCATTCCGAGAGCGCCGTCGTCGGTGCGGTTGTCGAGGAGCAAGGAAACTCGGCTGTGGGAAGTCATCTCGGTACGGCGAAGGATTCGCACAAGGTCTTCAAGGGTCGGGACGCGTGGCGCAAGTACACGTACCTCGTTGAGGTCGAGACCGTTACGGACGGGGGAGGCGCGGTGCAGGTCAACATTGACCCCGAGGAGCACGAGAATTTCGTCTGGGCTACAGAGGAAGAGGTGCGCGCGGACAGGTGTGGGGATGTAGTGTTTGAGTGGACGTCGGAGCATCAGAAGCTGGATATATTGAGGGCTTTTGAGATTGGGAGGGGGAAGAAGTAGTTTCTCGAGCATCGAGGCGTGGCGCATCAGTCAGCAGGTAATCGATCGACGGAGATTGCTAGAAGAAACGCCGGTGATGAGTTCTATTGGTGTCCTTCTATCCAGACCTGAGGTAATACTACCTCTATATAAATGCAATGCATCCATAGATCCCATTTTGTTGACCGACCTCACACTCGTCAGTCTCTCTACTTCTTCTTGGACCCCCTACCGCCACGTCCCCCCTTACCCTGCTGCCCCTTTGCGCCCGCGCCATCGCTGCCACCAGACATCATAACCCGCACCTTGCCAACCGGCACGACATTGATAGACTCCTCAGCCTTGAGCGCCTTCATAAGCTCCACCTCCCTCGGCCACATCTTCTCCTTATCCTGCGACCGCTCGTCGAGCACGCCCTTCTTGGACGAAGCGCTCTTCCACCTCTCAAACACCTCCTTCACCGCCTTGCCCTTCTTCACCGCGCCGGGCTGCAGCTTGGCCTTGTACTTGAACTTGCCCATGGCGTTCCACGGCGCGCACACGGGGATCGCCTCCAGGATCTCGTCGCCGGGGAGCGGCCACCCGACGAGGTAGTCGAGCATGGTCATCTTGCTCAGCTCCTCCGAGTCCAGGACCTCGACGCCCTCCTCGTTCATCAGGCGGCGGATCTCCTCGTGCTCGGCAGTCTCCTTTTGCTGCTTCTCGTGCTGCGCTCGGCGACGCTCCTTCTGATACGCCAGCTGCGCTTCTCGCTCGGCCTTGCTCTGCGCTTCGGCTTCGGCTCTTTGCTTACCGCGAGCGGAGCCGTAGATGGCCTCGGCTGCCTCCCTGTCCTCTTCATCTTGATCCTTGTACTTGGCCGCGATTTTCTTGGCTTTGTTGCGTCGGCCTCGCTTGGCTGGTTGCTGCTTCGCGGTCGTGGCGGTGCTGGTCTGTGAGCCTGGCGCACCGGCCGGCTCTGCGGGGGTTGATGTTTGTCCTGTGGCTGCTTTGTCACTCTCTTCTTCATCGTCGTCGTCATCCTGTTCTTCTCCCTCTCCCTCTCCCTCCTCCTCCTCCTCCTCCTGTTCTTCTGGTGACCTGGCTTCCTCGTTCGCGGAGTGTTCCGCGGGCTTGTCCTCGTCAATCTTCAGATTTGACAATTCCTCGGCAGGGGACTCTCCGGATGCAAGCTGCTCCTCCGAGTCATCCTGTCCACTCTGTCCAAGATTCTGCAGAGGGTTGTCACGCGGCTTCTCATCCTCCTGATCGTCGTCGGAGCCGATATCAGAGGCGTCATCCGGGATGTCATCATTGGCTTGAGCCGTGTCAGTCGCAGACTCTTGTGCCGCGTTGTCGGATGCCGGAGCCTGGATATCAGTGCTGTCGTACAGCCTGTGCTTCACATGTCTGGCCTTGCTCTCTTCGCTAATCTTGAACATGATGCCGAGACCGAGCAGAAGCTGTGCCGGGGGAAGGAAGTTCTTCTGACCACGAACCATGAAGCTTCCCGTGGGGAGGTACTCTCCTGTGGGAGCGGACTTGGACACCTGGTCGGCATTCACCCACCATGCACCCATACCTGCCTTTGAGTCCCACGCACTCGAGCTACACACAGCCAGTGTTCCTGCTTGCGCCAGTGTCGAAGGAGGGATGGGCGCTCCGGGATCGCTGGGGCTGTTCTTGATGATGACGGTCGCGGCGCCGTGCATATCCGCGTGGACGTAAACGTCGCCCTTGCGGAGGTAGCGCTTGTACAACATCTCGTTCTGCTGCGCATCTTTGCCTCCCAGCACCAGGTACCCATCAGATGATACAAACCAGGTGAATTTCTCAAACCAAATCTGCTTCCGTATAGGCTGAAGGACAGCCTTCTCCGTCTTGAGGCCCTTCTTCAATTCTGCTTGGATCTTCTGTTCGGCGTTCTTCAACGCAATCTGAGACTGCAGGACCGTCTTTTCCTCCTTTTTGGCAGCGCTCCGCTTCTGCTCATGGTATCCTCTGGAGTTCGCCCAGGGGGACAGAGTGATGTTGACGTCAATCTCCAGGCGTTTCGCAGTTTTTTGCTTGTTGCTGGTATCCTCGTCGTCGCTGTCGGAGGCATCAGAGTCGGTCTCGTAGTTGGATTCGTCGTCTTCGATTTCTTCCTCCTCTCCCAGCAACAAGGTAATCGTGTTATCCGCAAGGTTCAGCGGCAATTTGATGATTTCAGCCACAGGATTACGGCGCTTCTGTTCGCGCTCAATGAGCTTGCTGATGTCGACCCAATCCATGCCCTGCTGAAGCAGGCCATTCACCGCATCCATCGCCTCCTGCACGCGCTCGACGTTTGCCTCGATTGCTGTGGCCTTCTGAACATTGAGGGACTTGGCCTCCCGGAGGCCTTCGATGCGCTTCTCCTGGTCATTTCTCGCGGCATCAAGCTTCCTCCTTGCCGCGGCCTCTCGTTCAGTCAGTCTTGACTCGAGCTTCTGGCCCTCCAAAGACGAGAAGAACTCGTCCACGGTTTTGTTGTAGCCGTCGAACTCAATGACCTTGACCGTAGGGTCGTTTGCAAACTTGTTAGGCAAGAAGGGGTGGAAGTCGTCGTAGAGAAGATCTGATCGCCTCGTCTCCTCCCCTTCCGCTGCCGGCGCGGTCTCCGGCTTCGATCGGTACTTGGCGAAAATGTAGCCCTTGGCCGTGGCAGAGCTGGTAGCAACCTCGACAATGCTTCGGGCTTCGGTCAAAGCCTTCAAGAGCGCATCCAGTAGAGACTCATCCTCGAGGATCTCGGCGGGTTTCTTGTTGCCATCAAATTTGGTAATCTGGAATGAGTGGTCGACGAGGATAGGCGGCAGTTCAGTAATCGTTGTTGCCAAGCACCTCCTCAGCTCATCTCCTGGCTTCGTCTTCGTTTTCTTTCCTGCTGAGACGGCTGTTGCGCCCTTCTTGACTGACAACTCCAGTGCCGCACGTACTCTGTCTTTCGTAAGAGGTGGAACGCCGTTGAAGTTCTGTCGGCTGTCTAGTGAGTAGTTCAACCCGATCCGCTGAGGTTCCTGGCCTTCCCCTTCAGGAACATTTCGCAAGAGTGTGAGAATCTTAAGGTCGGCGTCGGTCAAGATGACGTTTCCGCTCTGCGTAGGGACAAAGTCAGTCTTGACTTGTTGCCAAAAAGGGTCAATGTGCTTACAGCAAAGAACTCAAGAAAGAGACGATACTGGCCATCGCTAAACTGGAACTCCAGAATTCTGTCCGTTCCAACCTGCTTGACAGACGTCAACCGCCGGGTCTTGAGGAACTTGCGCAGCCGCGCGACAAAGGCCGAGGGCGCCGCGGCGGTCGTGCGCGTAAAGTCTGTGAGGTGGCATCGGAAGCCAGCGTCGATAATGAGCTGCTTCTTGTTGTCGGGCTTCGCGAACTTGAAGAGCAGGATCTTGGAGGAGAGATCGTAGACGTTGGCCAGTCGCAAGGTGGTGAGGCTCTCTTGGAGCTCGTGGGCGATGACTTTGACGTCGATGGAGGAGAAACGCTGCTTCATGACTGCAAAATGGAGTCGCGGAGGTCGGGTTAGAGGATTGCTGCAGTGCGCGCCAATCTTTTGCGGCGGCTTTCGTTGTAGGGCGCGAATGTGTGAATCTAGTGAGGGGCCGGATCTGTAATGCGAATGAATAATCGCGGGGCAATGGTGGCTGAAGAGCTTTGGAATTGTGGATGCGCCACAATGACGTCACGTGCCTCACCTCAATTGTTACCAGCGACTTTTGTCCACGTTCGTCGGGTCTCTTTCTACCAATTGCTGGAGAAAAAGAGGTGATCTTTTTTGTTTCTTGTTATTCAAGTTAAATAAGGAGAACATCAAGCGTTTTGAACTAGAAATACGCGTTCAATTGATGAGGATTGGCCTCACTACGATTGCTCACCTCTCATCTCTCGTCCCGAGCTGGCCGTGATGACGCACGCCGAACTTCTAGCGCCACGTTTCGAGCTTCAAGCAAAGAAGAAGAGCTGTCATACTAATTTAGAGCTCTGTGCCACTGAACTATGGTGACAGGTGCCAACTCAAATGAGACGAGGCGAAGTCTTTGATTTGGAGGTTGCACTCGAAACGTTGATATCAAAAGAAACAGCTAGACCAAGAGGTTGTAGTGCCGATCAATTTCTCATCGGCCAGTTACAACCAGCTGGTTTCGAATAATTGAAACAACAAAATTTTGAGGCAGGAAAAGTATTTCCAATACTCTCCATCCAAGGGCATCCATCACATGAGGCAATATCCTTGGCCGCGGATTCAGCGGCATGTCGTTTTGGTATGCTAAATCATCGGAGGTGGTCCAGCTCTAGCATCGATAACTTGACAAACAATTCATCAACGCTTAGGATGGACCGCTAAATACAAGCGACTCATTGATTGCAGTCTCCAGTACAACTTCGAAAACTTTAAGCTAACAACAAAGTTTCGAAGCAACTCAGGGTCAATTTGAAGTACAAAGAAGGTCTAGTCTCTATTGGTTGCACGAGCCAGTAACAGCGTTCCTGTGGCCTTTCCTCTGCGAACCCAGAATGTACTCGTTGCACTAACAACAGTAATCGGCATAGAGTTCCAAGCTCATTTTGACTTTCATGTGATGCATCTACACAAACAGATCTGTAGCCCTCCGTTTGACGTCGCCGGCGACGGAGAGCAATCGTCGTCCAGTGCCGAAGAAAGTATTTCCAACTGCAGTTAGCGCGGGAGCTGGGACCAGTCAGTCGTCACGGCAACCAGGTGCATTGCAAGGGAGCTCCCGTGTGTCCCGACCGGTTCGTCTGGCTTGGTGCTTTTGGTTTGAAACCATTGACCCTTCGATGTCAATTGAGATGATCCAAGGCCGGGAGGCTGGCGATTATGAGCAACTCCAACCTCCCCTGTTGCAGACTCCCGTGGGAGCGCAAATCTGGGACGGACCAGCGTCTCCATGACTCTGATGGATCCAGGGGAAATGGAGAATCCGACTGTCAAGATCCATCAATGGTTTGAAGACCCACTCGGGCGCTGCGGGCGGGATCCGTAAGGTAGGGAGGGTACTTTGCCTTGGCCACGTCGCCGGCCTCCCTGGAAAAAGCAAAGCCGCCAGCCAGCCTCATTTTGCATGTGCGACCGTCAACTTGCATGAGTTGTGCGGCGATTGCAGACAGATAGTCCAATGGAGGTGTTCCACGATGTGTGAGACCCAGTCTTGGGTCCCCGTATTGGTGTGAGAAGTGGTCAATTGCTGATTTTCGTAAGGCCTCACCAGCAGCCGCCGGCCTGAGAACCCTGGAAACAAAAGGCCGGGAAGGGCGATTGCAGCTGAAAGGTGGTTGGGGAAGCTCCACGACTGGCCAATTGAGTTTCCGGGCTGCCGCGGTCAGGCTATGCGGACCATGCAGACGGTCGTTAGCGGGCAATTGGGCCATGGGCGAAACGACGATCTTCGTACCCAGCCCCAAGTCAGTGTTTTGTTGTTGCAACGAGCGTGTCAACAAGCTGCCAGATGTGACAGGCGAGATGCACAGAGCGTATTCGCAGGGTCGGAAGCGATCAGATCAGCCCAGCTCAGTGCGCAGTTCGCGACTGCCGTCAGCGCTGCAGATGGACTCAAGGAGACATTGTCACATTGGACACGGCCTCTCGTTAGTGTCCGTTCCCTCGCCTCATGCCCCAGGACAAGTGACAGTCCATTGACTGGTGCCAACACTGTTGGATTTGAGGCGTCCATTACGGCGTCTGGGTGGGAATGTCTGTGTGACAGGAAATTTGCAGGTTCTGGCGGGTCAGGAGAATCCGGGGGTTCCCCCTCTTGCTGGCCAAAGGTCCCAGTTCCCTCCTCTCCTCTTGTCAGGGCCAGCCCAGCGAGCAAAGTCGGGGTTGTTCTGTTGCTGATCAACCACGGCGCCTGCAATCTTGGTGTGGAGGGAAGGACCCAGAAACAACCGAGGACGAAAATGGTCGGCGGTCGATCCAGCAGTTCTCCAGGGCGGTGGTCAACCAATGCTGGACGGTCCACTGTTGGAGCTTGCGCAAGCGGGCGTCTTGGAGGTGCGATTGATACTGCCGACATTGACTGGCACATTTTGCAGCGCTAGTCGGAGAAAGAGGTGTGAAGACGGAGGAGGTGGGCGTGTGTATGAGAGCTAAGCTCTGCGGCAGCTCTGGCTCTCACGCTCTGTCGCCGCCCATCGAGTCGGCAGCATCTTGCATGCAGTAGAATGCAATTACATTGCATGTGACTGACTCGAATGGTGATTACTTGCATGAAGATGGGCCATTGAATCAATTGACCCCATATCGAAGTCGTCGGGCTGTCAATCGACGTGGTTAGGCGCAGTGATGATATGGAGAGAGAGTGTGAGAGAGCTTTTTTTTAGTGTGCGACATGTGGCCTTGGGTGCGGGCAGTCAGATGGGAGAGGACCGGATGGACGAGACGAGACAGCGGGTACGTATCCGAGGTTCCCTACCTTAGCTCAGGTACGTTCCCAGACAGTCAGGTCGTATCGAAATGGAGAATGGGAAAGCGTGCAGTGGTATCCGTATAAGGTAGTGGTGCCAGGTAAGGTACCTGCCGCGCCGGGGCAGACTGGTGCCTGACTTGGGTACCGTTGGCCTTGACACCTCAAATGCAAGGCGCCTATGACAGCCGTCCACCCGTCCAAGGTTTCCCAGATGTGCCAGGGCGTCAAAGCTTCGAGCTGCAGCTCCGAGCTCCCCCCTCCCATGTCAAGTCTCCACCTTCCGTCCTCTCACCTGTGATCTAGTCCCCTTCGGGTCGGAATAAACAAACGGAATATCCACTGCTGCAGTCGACGGGAGCCAATGTCAACATTCCCTCACAACACACGGCGCACTTTGACCACCTTCTTGCTAGGAAATGCACGTCTTTCCTCTCTGCCATTCTGCAGGCATCTCCCGTCTCTCTAACCTCTCACCCTCGCACACCATCCATCACATCATACCCACACCAGACAGACTCTCGGTCTCTCACATCTTTTGATATCTCTCCAAGAAACGAGACATATTCGATCCAATCCAATCCAGTCCAGTCCATCCACCTCCTCCGCATCCACTCCCAGCCGTCCACCCACTCACGACGACACTGATCCCAGTCTCAGTCCCACATCGGTCCAGATACCAGTCCAAGTCTCAAGAGGAATCAAGAGGATACTTTCTCTCTCACACAACACACAACATTCACCCCTTGCCCCGGCAACCCTCGCAAGTCGCAACCCTCGTCTTCTGCATCGCTCTACTGCTCCATCCAACCATCACCCCCCAACCCCCCGTCTTCAAAACCCAATCCGCATCGCACATCTCGAGCGACCCTCTTCTCCCTCCTTCTTCTCTCCTCTCCATCCATCTTCAAAGCTTCAATCGCCTTCCTGCCCAACTTCACCCTCTGTCGGCACACCCCCTTTCCTCCAAATCCAAAAGAGAAGAGAAAAGCAGAAGCGCGTGTCACTTGAACGACCGGCTTCTTCCACCTTTCCCTTCCCCTTTGTTTTTTTAGGAAAACGAAGCAAGAGGATACTCTTCTTTGCCTTCCTCGCTCCAGGAACGCTTAGAAGATTCTCCTCTTTGCGTCCCCAAGGCCGCCAATCTGGATTTTGAAGCTCGTATCCCCGTCCCTTTTAGCGTCTTTCCCTCCACCTACAAGGAGAGTGAGACACAAACCCAGACCCAAACAGTCACCCAGACTCACGAAGAGCTTGAGATCAAACTTCCCGAGAAGAAGCCTCAAAAGCCCGGACGGGAAGGTCAATACTCTTCCTTCACTACCATCGCCGAGCAGAAGCCGCAGCCGCAGCAGCAGCAGCAGCAGCCTCTCCCCCCTCGGAAGGAACATCGCTACGAAGAAGAGGTCCGCATCGAAGAACACTACCACCGTCCCGGTGTCCACCACGAGTCCCACCACTACCGTGAGGAGTACCGGTATGTCCTCAATTTCTCGCTCTCTCTTTCTCTCTGTATCCAAGCTGGCCCCTCTTCCCCTCTCTATCTGTTGCCGGAATCATCAGATGCCCATCACAGTCTGCCCTCGGCGGCTTATGTATGTGGCATGGCATCGATCGATTCATCCAGCCCCCCTCACTCCCGCTTCGTCTTCCCATGCAACCCCAAAACAACACAAACCCACTCGTGTCACTCCGGTCACCGCCCCTTCTCCTCCCCCATCCTCCGCCTCCCCTTGGCAACCTCTCACCCCTCACCTATCTCCTTCCTACCCCCCCTACCACCCCGGCCTCGGGGACCGCCTCAGCTCGGGCCCCGGTCTTTCGCCAAATTTCCCTCCTTGTCAGTTACGAGCCGCCAGTCATGGACCCTGGACGCCTCCTCCCGGCCCCTAGTCCCATGTTGGCCAAGTAACCACTTGTCACGTCAAATATGTCAACCTGAGCGAAAAAGCTTCCCCATCAAGCTCCCCCATCAAAACATTCAACTGACCTCTCTCTTCTTTTCCTTCCATCCAGCCCTGCCCCTCCTGCTCCTGCTCCCTCTCAGTACACCACTCAGCAAGAGTTCCACGACACTCGCATCCACCACCACGACACTCGCGTTGAGATCGACACCCGTCACCACGAGCACCTGGTAAACCCGATTGATAAAATCGAACGCCAGTACCGTCAACACTTCCAGCCTACCTATCACCGCGAGGAAGTCACTGTCGAGACCTACCCTGCTCACCACCACCACCACCACCACCACTCAGACCACTCAGACCACTCTCACAAGCACTCGCACTCCCACGTCGACGAGTACACCGTCGAGTCTGAGCGCCCCCGTCCCCAGCAGTACAAGGAAACCATCAAGGTTACCGAAGAGACCATCGAGCCCACTCACGTCTCCAAGCCCCAACACAAGTCCAAGATGGGTTACTACGACGAGGATGGTAAGTTGTGAATCCCCTCCCCAGTGCTCTGCTCACTTGTGCGTGCTTGTGCGATGCTTTGTGGCTTTTTGTGTGTGTTTCGGTTGCGCAGTTCGTCCCCCCAATCTATGGACCGACACTGAAGGGTGCTCGCACCACCAGGCCACTACCATTCTTTCCGTCAAGGCCTGCACAAGCTGGCTCATAAGATTGCTCACCCTCATCAAGGTCGCGCTGACCGTTACGAAGTCTCCGAGGTTCGCGCCGCTTCCGCCCCCCGCCGCCAGTCTTCCGGCTCTGGCTCTGGTGCCCCCCTCCTCCCCAACACCGTCACCATCCCCTGCCACCACATCCGCCTCGGCGACTTCTTGATGCTCCAGGGCCGTCCCTGCCAGGTCATCAAGATCTCCACCTCCGCCGCCACCGGCCAGTACCGCTACCTCGGTGTCGACCTCTTCACCAAGCAGCTCCACGAGGAGTCCTCCTTCATTGCCAACCCCGCCCCTAGCGTCGTTGTCCAGACCATGCTCGGCCCCGTCTTCAAGCAGTACCGTGTCCTCGACCTCGCCGATGGTCACGTCACTGCCATGACCGAGACCGGCGACGTCAAGCAGGGCCTGCCCGTCATTGACCAGTCCAACCTCTGGTCCCGCCTCAACAACGCCTTCGAGTCCGGCCGCGGCTCCGTTCGCGTCCTTGTCCTCAACGACGCTGGCCGTGAGCTCGCCGTTGACGTCAAGGTCATCCACGGCTCTCACCTGTAAGCGTATCGCGCAATGTCTGGGTTATCTAGCAAACATGTCTTGTACGAATTACAGATGATCAAATGTAATGGAGAAATTGAAGTCGATTTTTTTGGACAAAAAACAGAACGGATAAAGGATCCAGGAGTCTTTCACGTAGATATGTAGCTCTGTATATGATCTGTAATCCATTTGTTGGGTACTACTGCATTGTCTGTGTCCATTGCCCTTGACTGATACTTCTTTGGTGACTCGACATCTTGGCTCCCACGCCTGATAGAAAATACGCCTTACTGACTCAACTCTTCTACACATGAAGTGAGGGGTCTCTCCCATCCATTTTATTTATCTAGTAAGATTTCATAGGAACTTGTTCCAGTATATCTGCATCAGACTGCTGTTCAAAAGTCATTTTGAGTTGATGCTAGTCACGCAAGACTCGTGGTCTGCTATGACTTGCTCACATTGTCTCTTGTCTTACATGGTACAAACAGTAATGTGCCTCGTACCCTTGAGCAAGATTTCCTGGCTGGAACCAATACCAGGCGACAAAACGATGATGTGACTGCTCACTAGAGACGTGGATCCAAGTGCGAAAAGAAACCCTGAGATGAAGATGGCAGTCCTCGTTTTTGAGCACCCGGACTCTACGACTTGACCACGGCTATTTCATCGCCGACGATATCCCAAAGTCTCCACTGTCACTTTGTTAGGTTCATATTTGTTGGCAGCACTTCTTGGGTGGCATCACGACCTCCCGATATATTACCTCAACAAGGTATAGGCCCCCCCGTACTTGTCATCAAAAC